CCAGATTGTTCGACTGCAACGCCCAGTTCGATCCAGCCATAGAGCTGGGTTTATTGATCGACGCCAGCGCACCTGCCGCACCAGAGTGTCGGGTTTTGACAGTTGCATGGGAAGTATGGCTTTAACCCGTGAGACTGGCTGCTCATCTACCACTGGCCAATGATCAGAGCTGCTCCCTGCTATCTTCAATATTCCTTGCTGTGGTTGCACTTTTCGGGGCACTCGACTCGGGCACAATTGCCCCCGATGATTTTGAGGCTTACGCCTTTTCTTGACTTTAATAATGTTCGTTTTAGTACTAGTATTCGCGGCCCCCCTTCTCCCGTTCCGACTGAAATTCTAAAAGGGGGGGGGGAAGGAGAAAGGAATAAGATTGACTGTGATCTATCGACTTTTCTTTCTCTCGGTCCGAAATTTGCTCACATTCCACAGGTGACAAGGTCAAGCAGAAAGGGGGGACAGGGAATCACTAGGAAACCCTTTGGGAGTGGGGGCGTTTAACGAAAGGGCTTGCAATTGCATACCCCTCCAAAAGTTGCGCGAGAACGACATCGACATCCATGTAGGTCATTTTCAGTGGAGGCGTCAAGTATGTACGAGTATGCATGGTGTCGATCCCCTCGGTTCCTTTGTTCTCAGGCCAACTACGATCGCGCTCTCGATTCAGGTGGTTGCAAGCCGCCGCTGGGGGCTCGCACCATTGCTCGAGGTTGGGGGGTGGCGTCGAAGCCATACCCAGATGCCGCCCTTTGCGATGTGTTCTTTTGCGCTGCAGCCGGCGTAACTTCCCGCGCTTTCCGATCGATCTTAAATATTGAAGTTAATCGCATCCCATGTCCCTGGTCTGGAGCTAACTAGTCTCCAATGTGCCGCTTCGCGAGAGCGGGCCGGTACTGCGCGAACAAAGTACTATCTATTCTGGTGCAGATGCATGCTCGAGCGCAAGACCATCCGATCGAAGATCGAAGCCAAAAATGCACCTTTGACTTTCGGCTTTGCCACCTTGATGTTTTGGTCTCAAACCCGCTTACGAGTGGAGATTTGTGACAGGTCCTTTTGTTCAGGGCAATGCGCCAGTCTGGGGCTGACGCCACGCTTCGAAATACCGATCTAGATTCTAGACCTGCCTCAGTTCCAGGTCTGTCTGTGCTCAGGGCTGAGATGGTACTTCTGTAGTTTTACTACGGAGTACGTACGTATACACTGATGTACCCTGATGGCGAACTGTAACAGATGAGAGACGACAGCAGGGAAATCGGTATTGCACTTTTACGGTACGGGGGCGAAATACCTTTGAAACTGTGTTAAGATTGTATGTCTTGCTTGTACTATGTACTCCGCTTTTCATTTCAATCCATCCCAGCTACGGAGTACACTTGACACACCCGGCCTCCTCGGTTAGATATTGCGTATGCTATGCTGGGATGAGATTTCTGATGGCACCAAATGTTGACCAGGTCCACTTTGATGTCGATTTTTAGTGCGTACCAAACCATTCTACCCCGGAGGCTACTGACAACATCCGCGCCCCAATCATACCGCTAGCCGCCAGGGGAAGTCCAGTGTGATCCATGGGTCAACTCTCTCCACATCAAAAAAAGGATCCGAACTGGCTCTGGCTCGGTATATCGTACTTACGTGCATTTTCACGGTCATCATTATTATACCGTATGGACTGTACTCCGTACACAAGGTCCCACGATCCGTTGTTTCACCCGGTTTTTCTCGATGTTTCCCCCGACCAACAGGAACTCTCCCTTCCCCTGGACCCCCCTGTCCCACTAGTGGCGAGCCCCATCGGAATGCAGGCTCCGGTGCCGCGGTGACGGGTACAAAACACCAAGCCATCCACTCTTGACTGGCTGAGGGTTGTTTTGTCCCTTGAACGATTTTCCCGCTATCGAATCGCCCGTCAGTCATGTGAGTCCTATCCATCCTTAGCCTTGCCTCGCCTTGTGGATCGCCATAATTATGGAGAACACTCCGTACGGAGTGTATTTGGATACGCGATCCTCGAGAATCTGGTTTTTTGGTTTCTTTGTTTGATGATCGCCCGGTTTTCTACTGGGTTTCCCCCCACACTGGTCCTTTTTTTCCCTTTGAGCTGATATCCGCCGAACGGCTGAACGGCGCCGGCACTTCCGGGCGTGACAGCAATGAGCTAGCGTTATCACATGGAGAAAAAAAAAAAGAAATACTCATTTTCGATCTCCGTCTGCCTAAAGAGGCGCCTTGCCTCGGATAATCCCCGAATCATATAGAGAAAGAAGGTTCTGTCGCAAGAAGTTGACACGTACTTTTTTCTTAGCTGGATCGTACTTTGTAACTTTGGTCTAGTTCCCTTCGTCCCGCGGTGCGGGGTGTGATTGACATGGTTCTATGTATGTCGCTTACAAGTCTGGGATAGACTTGATGATCGGCTTCAATGATTGGTCTGGAGGAGATGGGTAGACTTTTCCCCCCTGCAGCAGTAATTGTCGTACGATTGTTTATTCCGAGATCCAGGGGAAACTATGTATCTCTGTCCTTCACGTGGGCTATTCCATATGCGTACAGGAATTAGGTGATGTATCGACAGGCAATGATATCATAGATTGGGACCTTTGTGAGCTGGTGTCGATCTGGTTAGCGGGCGGGCTTGCCGGGGTACCTACCACGGCATTGGGTTTTCCTTATGGTTCGCACTTCGGAGTGACATCTTTTCCACGACGAGGGAATCTGTTCACCGGCCTGAAACATGGTACGTCTTTCTGCGCCGTATTATTAGGTCTTATTAGAGTTCTCTCTATAGCCAGGTAGCTACTCTGTGTGCAAAACCATCCATTTAGGTGGGCTTGCGATGCCTCCATATAGTATCTTCCAAGTTGTCCGCCTGCCTTCAGAATTTGGTCATGCAGGTTAAACAATCAGATTGTACAGCTCGGCATATCCCTGCATTAGTCTTGGTATGCACAGTTCAGCCTTGCCAGTAGATAGGAAACGAATGCACCGAACGGGTTCGGCGGCCCGTCAGAAATTGAGCGCCCTCGGTACTCTCGGCTTCCCTAACTTGATGCGGGTGCTACCTTGACAAGGATTTGGACTGTACGTACATATGTACATACAAAACCTGTAGCTATAGCGCAAAAGTACATAGCTACGAGGTACTCGATGGAATATATTGGAATAGGATTAAAGAACCCCGGCATTCCCCTTGCAGAACTTTTGTGACATTACTACGTGATCGGCTGATGATGCGCACGCCACAGATGTGATGGTTGGCCATAGATTCCTCTTGATGTGATGGCCCAGGAGAGTGACCAGGATCAGGAGCCAATTGGCTGAGAGACTAGGATCATCCATGATATAGAGATGTTGCACCATTTTCATGTCACGGGAAAAGATTTCAAATACAAATTCACCGAGCACTCACCGACGTTTGTGATGCATTCGCATTTGCATTCGAGAGTATGCACAACATGTTGAGATGAGGACTGGCAGTGGCTCCATACGCATGCCCCATGACAGTTGTTCATGACTAGTTATTCAGACGAGTCTAGGTACGACTTGTGGTGTCAGGCGCTTTATTCCGAAGGCAAAAATCTCCTGTTCAGCCTCATCCTGCGAGAGGGTCTACGGACCCAATCAATCCATCGTGCATACTAGTGCCTCAGTCGGCAGTTCTCTGGCCACTGAATATAGCCCCTTTAGCTCTGGCGAGCATGGAATACTCGTACTCGTACCCCCGTTCAGCTCGACTACCCCACCACACTAGATGAGTTGATGGGTAGACTTGCCTCTAATTTGGGTTAGACCAATGCCTACGGAGTACTTCATGTATGACTCGCAGTCCATCCTCGCCTGTGCTAATTTTACGAAAGCGAATGAACAAGACATCATGATAAATATCAGGCAGTGACATGATAAATGGAAGGAACGGAGCCCAGGGGGCTGTCGTTAGGTACTTCAGACAAGACAACACCAACACCGTAACTGAATCCCGGCTGCCAATATTCTGGTCTTTTTAGCACTAAACATCTTCTCATACTTCACGCGGAATAGAATTCATGTACATATTCATAAACTGAGTACATACATTTGCTTGCATCCTACTCCGTACTCTGTACCGCTTTGAACAAGCCCATAACAGTAGGCAATGCGGAAGGAAAAAGCAATGCATTGCCTTGCAACTTCAGTCGAGAGCTTCTTGGCGCGCTAGCAAGCTGGAAATATGTACCATTGAGAACATCACAGCTGAGTGGATTGCGTATACGAAGTGGAGAGAAAGGGTGGATCAAGATCGCCGAGTATCAACAAGTTCGGTCTAACTCCACTGGCCAACGCGAGCCTCGACAAGTCGATACAACGCCACGACGGCATCATGCAGCCACGACAGGGTTGATTGTTGTAGGGTTCTCAGGACAGCAAATCCCACGCTGTATTGCAAATCAATAGAGGACAGGGGTTAAACGGGAACATACGGTTTGATCAATTTTCGCTTTGTTGTTCGCACAGTTCTTTCTTAGGTGGACGCGCCATTCTTTGCCATGCCGAGTCTCAGTATGGAAAGGCCTCCCGCTTTTCGACTGCAATAACCTGGGGTCCATTGGAACCACATACAGCGGCGAGGCCCAACGGTGCAGCCTTACAATGTCGAATCGAATCGGCTCGACTCAATTGTTGTTTGTGCCACAGATTCCAAATAGGTTCGCAAAATGGGATACCACAAGGTTCATCGGTCAAGGCCGCCGTGGGAAGAGGCCTCGACTGCCCCAGCTAAAGAGTATCACCACGTGACCCTTATCAAAAGAGAAATCCAAATCCGCGTCGACCATTTAACTTCTCCAAGTTCATTGCCATCTCGTTCGATCTTTGCGAAAACCTTCACTCGTTCCAGCCCAATTTATTGATATTGAGCTACGCGTCTTCGTCATCTCTGGTGTTAATTGAACTTCACATAAGTTTGTGCATTCTTCAACTGTGCCAGAATGAGCCAGAGGTAGCTCCGAACACCCGGCACCATGACATACCTCCCTCGAGCTTCTCTGCGTCTCTCTAAAAGGCCCTTCCTTATCGCACAAAGAACATGCCCTTTGGTTCCTCTTTTGAGAACTATCCAATCGCCCGTTGTTTTCCCAAGATGGCAAACGACCCAAACCAACAAACTACCACCCGGCGACGTCACTTCCCACGATACCCCAGATCTGTCGCATTTAAATCCACCACCAGAAGAGTACTCGCGCTTCATCTTCCAAGATAAATGCCATGTCACGATGCATGCGGGTAGTGGGGGCCATGGCTGTGTCGCATACCAGCGTGAGAAATATATCGAAGAAGGCCCGCCGAATGGAGGTGATGGTGGAAGTGGAGGAAGTCTCTACATCCAGGCCGTCGAAGGCATGACGAGCCTACATAAACTTGCCCGCAGGGGTATCATCAAAGCCAGTCGAGGCAGGAGTGGTCAAGGCAAGAGCCAAGGTGGGAAACGTGGTGAGGATATTCTCATCCAAGTTCCGGTCGGCACCGTTGTGCGCGAGGTGGAGCGTCATGACCCCGTTGCAGAAGAGCTGGCTCGAATGCGACGAGCAAAGGAGGAACCAAAGGAGGAACCGATGGATGAGGACGCAATTGAGTTTACACCGGTCCGACACGATCGCTGGGTAATCCACCCTGCCGCCAACCCTGCCGATTTCCTAACCGTGAAGTTTCCCCGACTCAAACCCCGCCGACAACATATCGCAGCGATGGAACCAAAAGCTCCTATATATCTCGACCTGTCGCATCCAATGGACAAACCTCTGCTTCTGGCTGCGGGTGGTGCGGGTGGTTTGGGAAATCCACACTTTACCACTCAGACCATGGGTCGGCCAAAATTCGCATCCCGTGGCGAAGGAGGCATGAGGCTAGAGCTTGACTTTGAGCTCAAGCTTTTGGCAGATGTCGGATTGGTCGGTAAACCGAATGCAGGAAAAAGTACGCTGTTGCGTTCGTTGACCAACAGCCGCACGAGGATTGGCAACTGGGAATTCACGACTCTAACACCTCACATCGGTACTGTGATTGTCGATGATCACAAAGGCCGACCGCTCGTTGAGTCGAAATCTCGACGCACCCACTTCACAATTGCAGATATTCCCGGGTTGGTGGAAGACGCCCATCTTGATCGTGGTCTTGGCCTAGGATTCCTTCGACATATTGACCGGGCAGGTATCTTAGCCTTCGTTCTTGATCTTAGTGCCGGAGACCCTGTCCAGGAGCTGCAGAAACTCTGGCTTGAACTTGGTGCGTATGAGAAACTGCGTGATAGCGGGTCTAAAGAGCCTGTTTCCCAAGAGACTGAGGGGGGTGATCGATTGGAATCCGTCAGGATCAGGGCTTCCGGAGCTTCACCGACCGGTAGACCAAAGTATCGAGCTACCTATCGCGGAGGAAGAATCGGCTGGACAGGCACTCAACTATCAATCATCTGGGTCACTACCCTTCCTTCCCATGCCACCCATCCACACGAAGCCTTGGTTTGTTGTTGCGACCAAGGCTGACTTGGAAGACACCCGGGAGCAATACCAGGCCCTACAAAAGTACCTGTCTGAAGTTCAGAATGGCACCGTCGAGCATCCTTCTGGCCATGCGGGTGGATGGAAGGGGAAAGTGACTGCTCTTCCTGTTAGCGCCATGCGTGGCGAAGGGGTGTCGCGTATCCCAAAGTTGGTGATGCAATATTTGGAGTGAAGTGGGAGAATACTGTAAATGTAAACTATTATGTACAATAAAATATCCATGAATATTCTGTATAATATACAGTCTAGTATTTTACCATATCATAACTACTTTTACCTCACACTGATTGTCCCCACGTTGAGAAAACTTCAAGTTGAACTTTGTAAAGTGCCAGTGCGTAATTGCGCAGAATCCATCTGGGCAACCTTGAATTTCGACCGTGACGTTGTTTATATTTCTAGCGTGCTGCGGGTATCCCCGTTTGCCATCTACAACCTTGGAACTCACCCCACCAAAGGCCTCGGGGAGCCTTTTGAAGGAACTTGCCAGGTGAACCTTTCAATCCACTGCACCCACGATGACGAAGTTTCATCCATAACCTTCAAGCTGGAACTCCTTTGCTCCTACATTCGCGAATCATGTCTCTCCCCGCTGTTATCAGTTCGGCGGTGTCGTCCATTGCCCACCCCACCTCAGAAGATCCGATCTTCGATTGTCACCACAATATCACGAGCATATTTGAAGACCCTGATACATCATTAGCGTTGGCGGACTCGAAGCTACGCGTGTTTCCCTTCAAAGATGTACATGTTTGCTGGCGACGGCTGTACACCGACGCGTCTATCGCGAAAGTGTGTCTCGTCATCATACGAGAATGCAAGCTAAGTCGACAGGTTGAGCCCGGCAAGTCGGACCTCGAGAAACTTGCCGAAGAGATCCAAAGTGTTACGACGCCCCTTCAGATTGACCCGGATGCCGCATGGCTCTCGGAAGTCGTCCACGTCCTTGACAAGGCACTGATCATGACTGGCGCGCCATTGCGCGAGAAGCTCATCGAGGAGTTGTTATCGAGGCTTCAAGCAGATACAGAAGGCGAGGAAGAATCCCACACCTCTGATCATGGCGACAAGCCGCCCACGAAACGAAGAAAGATTTCCTCCTCCCTCTTCCCTTCGCATTCGCTCCCGATACCCCGCCTCGAACATCCCGTCCCACGCGTATCGGCGCCATCCTTCGACTCGATCGAGCACCATATCCAAAATATTCGCACCCCTCTCGTCATAACAGACACACTGAACCATTGGCCAGCTCTGTCGACACGACCGTGGACCTCGCGGGAGTACTGGTGGAAGCGGACATTCGGCGGGCGCAGGCTCGTCCCCGTCGAAGTAGGCAGATCATACACGGACGACGATTGGGGTCAAAAGATCATGGAATTTCGAGAATTCGCGGATCGATTTCTATGGCAGGGCGACTTGAGCATCTGCTCGACTGGGGACAATGACGAGGTGGAGACCGGGTACATGGCACAACATGACCTATTGGCACAGATCCCAGCTCTGAGAAATGATATCGGCGTCCCGGATTATTGTTACATTAACCCTCCAGATGCGGAACAAGGGACCCCAGTCTATGAGAGTAAGCGCCGTGACCGTGAAGCCGCGCGGGCTGCTTTGAATTCCGATCCCGAGTCAGCGGATGGGAATGCGACTGCTCCTGATGGCACTTCCGATGGCTCCTCAGATGCAGGGTCACTCATGGAGTTCCCGCAGGACCCGATGATCAACATCTGGATAGGACCCTCATGGACGATCTCGCCGCTGCATCATGATCCGTACCATAACATTTTCGTGCAAGTTGCCGGGGCCAAGTACGTACGATTGTACTCGCCACATACACCAGCTTCACAGATCCACCCTCGAGGTAAGGAGTGGGTCCCCTCTGATGATAAAGTCAAACATGGCACTTCTGCAGACGATATAGGTGATTCAAAAGGCAAGTACATCGATATGTCAAATACCTCCCAGGTAGACGTTGCAGCTATCGAACTATCCCTGCCGAGGCAGATCAATGGGAAGAACAGTGGCCTGGGTTTATGGATGCTGAGTATGTCGAGACAGTTTTGCAGGAAGGTGAAAGCCTTTACATTCCTGTTGGGTGGTGGCACTACGTGCGTGGATTACGCGCCGGAGTGAGCGTTAGCTTTTGGTGGTAGGTAACCTTGAAATGAATACAATAAATCTCTTTCAGATCATACGATATATGCTGCATATTACATGTAGTGCAAAGAATATCATTCTCTAGTATTATATTTCGGGCTCAAAAGCTACTACAGCTCTGGAGAAGGGCTCGGCTCCCAGGTCCTGATGTGATCTTACTCAGGCTGTATTCCCGTTTGAGTCGCTTCAAGTTCTTGATTCAAGTTGATACTTTCTTTTCTAGAAATATTTCTCATAAATGATATTTTCTATTCTTTTTAAATTTCTCACATGCTACTACTCTTTCTTATAATGAAACATCAAGATTGTGGTCTCCATATCACACCCAACACTTGAAAGGGGCTCAGCAGAGAAGAAAACTTCTAATGTGTTCATTATCTAAATTCTTTGGTCTTTCCAAGAGATCTTTATCTCGAGATTTCTTCCATATCTTCTTGCATAATACCGGAAAAGTAAATCTGCCCAAAGGAACGTATAATTTGGTGGACATTCTGTACTCCGCCATAGAAAGATAAAAGCTCTAGTGATAACCTGGGGCTAATATTCACGACGAATCCTTTAAGCTATGATAAATGACTAGCACATGGACGCCGTTAGTAGACATATGACCGGGGTAGTGGCAGAGCATCACAGAATAGTAGTATCCTTTGAATTGAACATAAAATGTCGAATTATGTATAGCATTCCAAGGTTTAAGGTCGCTCTAAGATGGGACCATGGCGAAACCGACGCCACCACCTCTGAACGCGAGCCAAAATAGCACTACCTTCACTGCTCAGCCTCGAATTTCATCAAGCCGGTACAATATTTGACCACGGCCCTATAATTAATTGTACTTGTGCTATTGTCAAACATTCTCACGGCGGAGGAGATGCCTGTTTTTAGTTTTCTCTTGACGCACAGCCATCAGTGAGTTGCCCTCCACATTTAAAAGAAGATGATTCGACAGCCACTCGTTATTTGGTACACTAAGGCTCGTCTCGTGCTGAGACTGTATAGGGCCACAGCCCTTCTTCTATGGCATTGGGCGGAGAAGATGAAGATATGATAAGTATCGATCAGATATAAGAACGGGTTGGCTCCGTGAACTATATGCTGCGAGTCATTAGACGACGACATTCAATACAAAAAAAAAAAAACCCCCAATACCCCCAGAGCCTAGTTTCCTGAATGGATCACTCCATACTACGGGAAAGGGATATCTTCTTACGATGGCCGACGCTAACCTCCACTTAGCGCCTAAAAGAGTTTGGCGATGCAAGGCGGGCGGAATTCGGTACTCGGGAGTTATATAGGGGCTCTGATGCTTCCACCCCTAGAACCATCGGGGTGATTATTTAGGAGGTACGTAAGTGGTCTCTAGTATGCCTTGGCATTGAAACGGCGACTTCTGGATGCTTTAACGGGGGATGGATAGGAGACGATCTTATGAGACGCGTGGTTTATGCCTTGGCGAATCGGAATTGAGTGACCCGTGGAGGGCTTTTCTCTAGTCTGAATGGTCTAGATCTCGAACGAGTTGTTGCCTGATACTCCGTACTACTCCGGGAACTATGGAGTATACTCGTAGAGAGTGATAGTTGTGATCGGCAAGTGAGTCCCAGTGTTAGTGTTAGCGCCCGCATTGTCGGCAGTGATCCGACGAGCAAAGTCAGTCGGACAGAGATTCTGCAACTACTAGTAATACATGATATGGCTTGGCGTACTCCGTAGTACCTAATGCAATCATTGCATACGAGTAGTGCGTACAAGAAGCTGAACGGTGGGGGTTGGTTAGCGGTATACTCTTTAACTAGTGCCGCTTTTTGTTGCCGTGCCCTAACTCAACCTGAACCCGCCACCCCATCACACGCAAACAGAAGCGCCGTCTCTTTTTCGTGAGGCAATTTCTTACCAGCCGGTACACCCTAATCCGTAGTTAAGATTATATACGAGTAGTACATGGAACCATAAATTTGATAATCTCCCGAGTTTGGTTATGTGGAGTAGATCCAGGCACGCGGCCAGATACCACGGATCAGCGATCAGCCCCGGCCACAGAATGGTGAAAATTTCTCTTGGCCTCGGGAGTTCGGCGGGCGTTAATTCCTACCTTAGCGCGAGCTTATTATAGCGAATCTGAAACAGTCGGCATCTGTTACCACCTCTACAGTATCACTACTATGTACTATGTACTGGTCTTCGGAAGGGGCCCGTTTGTATCTCATGCCCTAACCCGTCACGAGTCATATTGTAGGGTTCTCCGGAATAGCGCCCACACGCACTTCACGGACAACTGGGCTAGAAGTAATAACTTCCAACAGAATTCCGACAAACCAGTGGAGCCTAAAGGGAGCTAATATCGCCCCCACCGCCAATGAGGGGGCTGCCCTGGAAGCCAATATCCACCCACTCCAGCAGCACACGTCAACTCCCGGCCATTAGGGCCTAGTCGAACGAGTCGCATCCTCGTCTTAGCGCCAGGCGTACGTATAGCACCGGCGCAATTGTCCAGATGGTTTGCACACCAAAATTAAATTGCAAGGGTTGGCCCCATATCCTCCCTTCCCCTTCCCCTCCCCGGTGTCCTTTATTTTGTAGATTGCGCTCTCTTCATTTCTAGATTTTCATACTTCCCAGTCGTTCCTTTATACCAGTCACTCTTTTGGTCCATTCCGTCTCCGCGAGACGACTTTTTCTCCTGCGTTTCAGGTGTGTTGGCTTTGGTATTATCCGAGTCATTCAATTTACCTGCCCAAAATGCGTTTCGCCTCTTCTTTTGCGCTGCTGGCGGCTCTGACCAGTGGTGCTGTCGCCCGTCATGGTCACCGGATCCGCCATGAAGGCCATATGCGTCGCCAGGCGGAGGAAGTAGACTCGACCGTTACTGTCACGGCCCATAACACAGTCACTTACTGCCCGTGTGAGGAGTCTTCCTCGTCGATCATCCCATCGTCCTCGTCCACCCCGGCTCCCATTGCTACTACGACCTCGATTGAGATTTCTACTTCTCTCGCACTGCCCACCCAGGCCGCGGTGCCTACTTCTTCTACGACCCCAGTGGTTGTGGTCCCTACCACTACTGAAGTTCCTACTACTACTGAGGTCCCTGCTACCACTGAAGTCCCTACTTCAACATCCACATCCTCATCCTCCACTAGCACCAGCGAGGCCTCTACCACCTCATCCGGCGCCAGCGCTGATTGGAGCGCTGTCCCCTCCAGTGGCGAGTTCTCGACATCTGGTTTCGGCGCGAGCACAAAGAATAGCGGCTCCGGCGTTAGCTACACTGGCAACGTGGGCAGCCCCTATGGCAGTAACATCATCTCCGTCGAGGCTAGCGAGGCTAGCAATTACAAGTACGTCGTGGAGTTCTCCGGCTCTAACACGGATGACTGGTACGTTGTGATCTGGAACAAGATTGGCAAGGATGGTAAGATGGACGGCTGGTACGGCAACGGCTGTCACGAGTTCTCCATTGCCGCCGGTGAAACTAAGTACTACGCCTTCGACACCGACTCACAAGGTGGCTGGGCTGCTGCTAAGGGATCGTCTATCCCCACCGATAGCTACGGCGGTTACGCTGCTACCTGGGGTGAATTCGATTTCGGCTCTACTACGAACTCTGGCTGGTCCGGCTTCGATGTCTCCGCCATCCAGGCCCAGAACGCCGATCTTACCGTCCAGGGAATGAAGATCTGCAGTGTCTACAATGATTCGACTTGCTCTACGATTACATCTGGACTGGCTTCCGTTGTCAACGCCTACACTAGCGCCTTGGCCTCGGAGGATGGCATTGGTGGAAACCTGGTTTCTGGTGCCGTCCGCCTGGCTGTCACCCTTGACTACAGCTCTTAAGGTCTTACCGACACGTTACTTTCTCCTTGATATGTTTCTTTTCTTGATATCCCGCCTACTAGATTAGGTCTACATCGGGGGTTGGTTTGGTGTATTTCCAGTTGGTACATACTTTTTTCTTCGACTACCCTTAACATCTTCATGTTTATCTTTTCATTCTATATCATACTACCACACTAGCCGGAAAACTATTTCTGAAGCAAGATATTTCCCTTTTCCCTTTCAAGGTTCTCCGAGTCTTTTCAACGCCATTCAGCCTGTACATGGTCTAATAATTTCCTACCATTTGTATGAACGTCCTATGCGGTAGCAATGTTGAATCTTTAGTTTATTAACTCCACCCCTCAACGAGGTCGCTCAATGTCGTCTCTCCACCAACATTACCAGGGAAGACAACGAAAGGCACACCGCGATGACGAGATGTTTCTTCATCACATCGCCAAAGGGGGACACCAGGGGCTGCCTGGCCAACAATAAGTGCGCGTTTAGCATTCAAGCCCTTGGTAGCGGCGTCTGATGAAGTGATTCCTCCCTATGAGTAAAGTTAGCCAAACAGAACCTAGCCCCAAGTCGATCAAAAGAGTGATAGTACCTTGGCAATGATGTACCGCGGCCGAACCTCAATCCTTTGCAGAACGCTGACCAAAGCTTCCGCAACTGCAGACCCAATCTTCAAGGAGGATATCTCGTCGTCGCCCGTGATGAGCTTTCGACTTGTCATGACCAGTGTGTCTTTGCCGGCCTTCAGGTAGTCCTCTGTCTCTTTGACGATCTGTGCGATGGTCTTTGAAGCGGTCTCTGGCGAAGCGATAAGCTCCTCCACCTTGATCTCAATAATTGCAAGCTGACCCGTCGTGCCTCGACGGTCGGTCAGAACCTTTAATTGTGCCGTTGTTTTAGGAACATAGGACCCAGCCACAATAAGTCCACCTGCCTGTCTGGGAGAGGGGAGACCGAGTTCAATCGCGGAGATCGGGGCTTTCGATCGGATACCGAGTCGAGTCGAGACGAACGCTGCACCGGTACGGTAGAGGAAATGTTTGCCCTGCGACTCGGCTTTTTAATTTAATCAGCATCAGCCTTGGACTGGTCGCACGTTTATCGGGAAATGGGAAAGAAGAGTTATACGTACCCAGCAGTAACCCGGCAACAAAAACGTGCATATCCGATTCCGCTGCCGCATTAACAATCACTACGCCACCAGCCGGTGCAGCAAGCAATTTCTGACAAACTATTTCAGGTCCACCTTTTCGAATCTCATCAATGGTAACAGAGTACAATTGATCGGCCGAGTACCGACCAGGCGCTTTCTCAAGCACATAGTCCCGCAGATTAGAGGACTTGTATCCGAACGTCGCATCCTTTGCGAATTGCGTCGCCCCCGCAGGAACGAGGTTATCACCCTCAGCAACATAATGCACATCGTCGATTGTATAACGACCGCCCTGGAAAAAGAACGGAGCCAGGACCAATGCACCGGCAGCTCCGAATACCGACTGCGCAACGTCCGGTTCTAGTGGGAAGTGTCCGCGCAATGTACTATCGCCTCGCAGCACGATGTCAACTTTATTGCCCGTAGCATTTGCGGCCGACGATACATTCTCGCATATGTTTCGAATGAGGGTCTCTGCTTCTGTTGGAGGGAGGGCGCGCGAATTGGTTAGGATGAAGAAGCCTCGGGAATCGGTACGCAATTCGGCGGTCAATGTTGCAATATCCCAGACCGTGAGGACATTGATGTCATGGCAAGTCTGGGTACCGGTTGGATCGTCGTCTAGAACAACAAGACGGTTTATGGAAGCTGTGCTGAGGATCTGCGAGATCTGGTCTTGTGCGTCTGTTGGGTATTCGGCCGGGAGGGACGCGAGAGTGCTTTCGCGGGGGAGAGTCGGAAATTGCGACATCTTACGGCTATTAAATCATTGACCTGGAATTGAATCCTGTCACTCGAGACGGTGGTGTTTGCTTTTATGAGTTCTCGAGAAATCGGGAAATCGGCCCTGAAACTGCGGGGTGTGGGGAGGCGGGTCGGAGAGAAATCCGAGAGCGGGCCGGAGCACTGAGTCAAGTATTATATACGAGTAGATAGCTGCCCTGTCAGTATTTCGGGTCGATTCTGAAAACTTAGAACATGGTGGCATGCCAGTGTAGGGTAATAGATTCGTTCAGATGGCTATTGGTAAATATAAATGACAGGAAAACTCAAACTCCATCAAACGCCTAGCCTGCAGAGACCTCAGATGCAAGATGCAAGATGATCGCGTGGAAGTGATGAATGCTCGCAGCAGGAAATAATGCATCAATCATCCGTCGTTCGGCCCTCCACCAGAATCCATTCTTCTCGCCATCCCATCCCAAGTCTCCTCCTAAATCCTCATGCCTTCAAAACGCGTAAATCAGTGTGCAAGCGGGTCGTAGACTGCGTGAATGAGTAACTCGATTAGAGTAATGGGTCTAGCCCACCACACTGCGGAAGCTCAACGCTTCCAGGAAGCCACCCAGGTCATCCTTTTGGACTTCGACAACACAGTGGTCGAAGCTGTCGATACGGACTCGAGCGTTGGTCTCTTGGACCACCTCTTGGAAGGCAATGCCAAACCTGTTCCGCAAAAGGTGCTTCTTTGTACCTGGATCCTCGTCCTCGGACTCTGATTCGGACGAAGATTCAGACTCGTCGGATTCTTCGTCTTCGGCTTCATCATCGTCTTCTCGTTCAGCACGCTCAGCTGCGCGCTGTGCCCGACGAGATGATCGCTCCTGTTGCTTCTTATCCCTGGCTTCCTTCTTTTTACCGCGCTCCTCTCGGCGCTTAGACATGGCAGCATAGTCAATTACACCTCCACCGCCACCAGTTCCCACAACAACATAGAGGTCACGGTCTTCATCTAGGCCTGCAAGGACGAGAGGTGTACCCGCCGCGCGTTTCCGGCCGATCTTGATAGAATCGCCCTTCTCTCGCTCTTGGACACGGATGGCCTCGGCGATCCACAATGCGAGCTTTGTCAAGGCACCGGGGTTGGTGAAAAGCTTGACGTCAGGGCCGTCTTTGACAACAGCTATGCGGAAAGCTCGAAGATGGCGGATTTGGTGCTTGGACAGTAGTGATGTACCAGTGCGAAGAATAGCACGGTGAAGATGTTGAGCCAATGGCAATGCCTCCATGAGCAAGGTAGGCGATTCGGATGTGAGTGAAAGAGCATCGTATGCACTCCAGAATCGAGGAAGAAGGCTGGCCAAGTCTGATTCGCCAGTGCCGCCTCCGTTCTCGACATCATCGTTGGAGCCTCGGGCCCGTGGAAGACGTTTAGCATCCCAAGATGCGGAGGTCTCATGTGGTCCAACCTCCAGCATGGCACCGATAATAACACCGACGTCTGTGGCGGATAAACAAGCCTTCCAGCCCCAGCAACGAACAAAGCCCCACCCTTCACGAGAGCTAGCATGCCCAGTAGGCTCTGCAGGAACCAGTCCGTCCAGACCGTACATAGGAGCGTACTTGAGGAGTCGCCCACGTAGTACCCGCTTCAATTCCATATCCATGTGTGTGTAATATTGATGGCATTGAGTGAGGCTTATACCCATCTTGGCCAGGAGTTTGTGAAGACGTTTCCTGCCATTTTCCGTCCAGACGTGAAGCCTGGGGGCTAGGTATGGGCTGTGCAACATACTCTCATACAGCGACCAGTGACGAACGAGTAGGAAGCGGGGCTCCGGAGAGAGTCGAATAGATGTATCGGTCGGTGACCTGGCAGTGGTGGGAATAACGCCATTGATCTCCCCTCTAATGTCTCGATCACGCTCAAGTGGATCGGGAGGGTTCAAACGGTGAACTTCATCTCGGAAAATTTGGCGAAGATGCTCTCCACGTTGCCCTCCCCAGCCAGCAGAGCCTCCCTCTTCGGACGAATTGGAAATACCAACACCAGTCATAGTTCGACCGCTTAGTTCTAGACTTGAAATACCAACAATACCAAGCCAGAGGAGGTCATTATCCTCACGACCAAGTTCAGATGCTAGCGAGTAAACTAGCGACGAAATGGGCTCCGAGTATGAAGTTCCAGAGGAATAATAAGACTGCAATTTCGCATCGTGTTTTCGTTTCATACGAAGCAGGCGTCGTTTTAGAGATCGGGCCGATAACTGCTTCGGCTCGTCTGGCGAGGGCGAATCGCTAGTTGGGGTTCCGGAGCGTGAGGAATTTGAGGAATTTAGTTCCCTCTTTCTCCGCCGACTTGGAGATGAGACAATCGAGGAACCCTATGAGGTGTATCAGCATTTGTCTTACAATCAAGAAATAGGATACTCCATACTGAATTGCTTCGTTTTCGTTGGCGCGGGGGGCCATCCTCCTCGTCTGAAACGTCATCGTCTTCCCGACCCGACCACGACTTGCGCTTTTTAGAGCCTGTCGGCATACTCTCTTCTTCGTCATCATCACCATCACTCTCGTCGTCGTCTACCTCGGGCATTTCAAGAAGCGCATAGTATGCGTCCCGTTCGCCGCCAAGTTCCTCTTGAATATCGCCGTCGTCAAACACGATGATACCGCCACTTTTGGACGTGTAGGCAGGTGTGATGCGACCTTGGTCGACACCGCGGCCGCGTTTTCGTGCGTTAACATCAATTTCCGCCATAGCCTGGCCCATGCCGGCTTGACCACCAAAGACATTGGCCAGGTTCCAGGGTCGGCGCGCGTCGAATACCCAGATCTCGACACCACCCATATCCTCCTCGATTTCTTCCTCTTCTGGTTGGCTCATGCCTAGGATTTCGGCCAGATCAACTAGCCCGCCGACACCCAGGCATATTACCACACCTCCGCTCCCGCCATTGGTGGTCTGCATGGGGCGGACCAACTCCTCTCCGGCGCGCGTGAGGTCACCATATCCTGCAACGGGTTGGATCTTATGAGGGATGTAGTCGCGTTTTAAGAGAGCCGTGAGGATTCGACAAGCACAGAGGGCATCGGGTTCGAGAGCCACGAGAATCAGGACTGGTGGGGAGAGCGGGTGGTGGGATCGGAGGAGTTGTAGGTATAGGTGGGAGATGAGCTGCCGTGGAAGATACATGGCCAGCTAAGGGATATTAGAGACACATGAGCATGAATAAAATAAAAATAGCGAAGAGGCGCAAGAGAGGACTGGTAGTGGCCTGCAAACGGGCAAGTCGCTGTTGCAAGTCCGATCCTTAGAATTGGACTCTGACAGTCTGCGGAGAGCGCGCGCGACGCGTTGACGGGGCACGGGGCACGTGCCCGAGATTCCATTCTCTCGTCGCCGTCGCCGAGCCACCCGCACTGCTTTTCCCCCTGCTTCATACTTCTAATTATTATTGTGATTATTTGGTCGATGTGGATCCTATTTACCTGTGGAGACACATTCTGTAAACCTCCTTGGAGAGGGAAAGAGGGAGCTATCCTCTTGGGTCGAGTTTTGAGATTGAGAGCAGTGAACTGTGTTGGTAGGGTATAATGCTGCTCATTCATGCTCAGGCTATATTGCATATAGCGAGCTCATTTCTCTCATTTCTCATTTCTTCTTCTTGATATTGTCATTTACTACAATCAATACCTAGGTATACATTGATTTCAATTTCATTTGAACTAAATTCTTCGACCACCATGCACTAGTGGACCTGCGCGAACAACGAGTCGATTTTCTGCACAGCAATCTCTGGCAAAGGCCCCTTGGAGATATCGCTCATATTCTGAACGATCTGCGAAAATTTACTTGCCCCTAGGATCACTCCGTCCTTTTCGTCCAAGGTCGAATGGTAATAGAGCCACCTTAGACATGCTTCTGCGCCACTTATCTCGAGCGGATCAATGATATTCAGCAGATCAGCCACCACCCTATGCATCTCTAACGTGTCATATTTAGCATTCAAAGCAGAGGTGGTTTGATTACCCGGTGCATATCGTGTACCAACAGCATCACCACGAGTTGCTCGGCCTGTCAAGAAACCCCCCGCAAGAGGACTATGTATCGATTAGCTCTGCTCCTCAATCGAAAAGTTGAACAAGGTCCGTGTACCTGTAGGCATTGAAAGCAATTCCGTGTTTTCGCAGCAATGGAAATAATGTTTTCTCGCTTTCGCGGCTCAGAAGATTATATAGACCCTGGTACACGCTCGGCTTGACATAGTTTTTGTCTTCACAGACGGCAATAAATTCCGTCACAAGGTCAGGTGGGAAATTTGAGAGACCAAACTAAGTCAAGTCACTGAATCAGATATTGAACGTGAACGTGGACCGATGAGATGCGATGAAATATAAACGACCGACCTTCTCAAAGCGACCCTCCAAATACTGCCTATGAATCTCGCCGGCTTGCTCTGCAATTGGAGTCTCGGGGTCCGGGCGATGGAAATAGAGAATATGAACATTTTCAGCGTGCAATCGAGAAAAACTGTCATTGATTGATTTCGTAATATTCGCAGCAGTTAGGGATCCGGATCCATCGATTTTTAGAGAGCCATCAGTGCTGGTCTTTGTATCTATCGTGAAGCCTTGTTCTTGAGCACGGACTTCGCCTAGCAACCGCTCGGAAGAACCTGGACTTGTAGGTGAATATCTCGCTGCAGTATCGATACGGTTGATTCCAATTGATTGGAGTTGGTCTAGAAGCTCTTGAACTTGGGCCGCCGTGGTGAAGCTGGTCCCAATCAACGCTCCTCCGAAAAGGGTGCTTGGCCGAGACATTTTAAGGAAATGGTAGTGCTTTCTGCTGGAAATATGAACAAGACATCACTTTCTGATGCTAACGGTATTTATACTTAGAAATCCTAGCGATGCTCGATTAGTTATTCAGATGAAGAGATATACAATGTATTACAAAGCACAACCCCGGGTAGGCTGCTCCGGCTCGGCTTCCCATCTTCCGAAGAATGGCCAGGTGAGGCCCGAGCTGTTGAGGAATAAACTCAGTACTGAGTGAAGCCATATTCATGCCCAGGTGGATTTACTATTCAAGGGAGGTGTGTACTGGTAAGTTTGAACAAGGCAAATAGTAGTATTATCCGCATGTATGGTGATTGACTGTGAAAAACAGTCTATTCAGACCTATTCACCCCCCATTTTGGCATGGTATAAAATCACTAACTTGAACTGAATAACTACGTCATGCGTAAGGCTCAATGCAGCAGGCTCATTAGAAACTTGAAAATACAGGTAAGAGCAACATTTAGAAAGCAGAAGAAAGAATGCGTATTTCTGTAAGTCATAGAAAGTAAAGTGGGAAAGTTCGCTGAGCGCCGTGCACCATCCGAATGCTATACGTGGTTATATTAAACCAAGAAACAAAACTGCAATCAAATATTGATAATATTGACACAGTTCTACCACATCAGTTGACTGAACGGCCCAATATCGACCCGGCAACCCAGACTGCAGTGCATGCACCGACGACAGATAGACCGACCAGTCGTTTGCCCCAGCTGTTATCCTCGGCCATCTTCGTCGGGCCAACAGTCTTCTTGGGAGCCAATCCGACAGAAGAAGAGTGCTTATTTTCATTATCAGACTGAGTGGAGTTGCCAAGGATGGCAGAGTACTCTTCACCGCGCTTGCGCCACTTCTCCGCCAATCGTGCGATTTCGGCTAGATCCTCCTTAAGAGACCCAGGCTCTGTGGCGTTGGCGTTCTCGACTTCGACGTTTTGCACATTACCGAAGAAATCCACGACAGTGCGCAAGCGGCCTTCCTGTTCACCGCCAGGAAACAAGTCCCATCGCACACCAGGTTGTGAATGGATCTTCGACTCGTCATAGGAATCAAAAAGATCTCCAAGATTCAACTTGGAATTGGCGCTCGTCACTTGTGTCTCCAGGAACTCTAGTACATAATAGGTCCAGCGGTCGATGACGGCGACTCCAACATCGTTATCGGCGTGGTGGGAATAGGAGGACTGATCCAGCTCACTAGAGCCCGTGGCAACAATATTGGGCGAGTAGAAATGCGTGTACATCGTATTGGCCTGGCACGTATCAATCATGAAAAGAAGCTCATGGTAGCGCTTCTTCTCCCACATTTGCCCAAATGCATTGGCCAAATCCCACGCGCCAATCTCCTCCGCGTCTTGGAACTTTAGGAACTGGTCTCCGCCGTGACCGGTCATATACACCAATACGTTGCTACCGGCATCGGATCCAAGACGCTTGCTGCGTGGGACATCTTCGTCGAGCCGATCGGTCAATAGTCGAATGAAGTTCTCGACTGTCACTTCATAGCCCCTGTAATCAACCTCGATATTATCGCCGTACAGGTCGACGGCGCGGTCCGCGTTACTGTAGACGGTTCCGGGGAAAGCGTTTCGAGGATTGCAAGCCATATCATCGGGAAGCATCAGAATGATCTGCGAGTCTGGAATGCCGAGCCGCTTGACAGTTCGGTAGAGGGAAAGGACATTGGCGAGATGGCGGTAGTTGAACCAGAATCGGGATGTGGAGACCAGTACAGCCCAGTTGGAAGTATGTTCTGCAGCGACGAAGCTGACGAGAAGCAGGAGACAAAGCGCCTGCAATAAGCGGAAGAACGAAATCATGGTGGCGGTTTGAGGGTTAGAACATAGTCAGGAAAGGAGGGATGTGACTTCGGCCGCGCAGTTAGCGGAGCGCACTTGTAGGGGCGAAAAGAAGGGACCAGAAGTGAGAGTATGAGATGGTATAGCTCAGATATTAGTTCCGTCAGTTATATCAAAGCCATTATCGAATTTGAGTCGCGACGGAAGGTAGATGACAGGTGAAGCTATTGCGGAGCGCGATGACAAACCCGCAATTGGGATACTGACACCTTAGTAATCAGGCATCAACAATATATCCCGTCAAGTCAATCTTGGAACTTGAAGGATGATAATAAGTCAAGAATTGGAAAATCTCCTTGGCGGTCAGAGAAGGACTACCCGTAGTGTCCTGATTGATATCACGATTTATTTAAAAATAATACTACCAGTAGATCAGCCCTGAGATGGCCCTGGAACCTCGTCATAGCTTAGTCATTGGGGTACCGCCTACGTCGGAGCCGGCATAATCCTCTGGCGGATCAGCTCATCTACCAGTGCAATCCACTTTTCTTCTTCTTCTTCTTTCTCCTGGATTCAAATCTGTGCAGCGGTCCATTTTATAATCAAACCGAAGATCTTTCGTCATCATGGGAGGCAAGAAAGCTGCTGGTGAGAACTCCAAGAAGGTTGCTGGCAATGCCCGCGTATGTTGACCCCGCCCCCGCCATCATCACGCATGCAACAAATTGAACTGACGGCCACATAGAAAGCCGAGGCTGCCGCTGGAAAGAAGGCTCAATCGGACGCCAAGGTTGCCGTGGAGGAAGAGAAGCAATGGTCCAAGGGATCCAAGAGCAACGCTAAGAAGTAAGTAAAGCCTGGACGCCTGTTGGTAGTGCATGAATTCTGATCAATGATTTCTTCTCACTCACAGGGAAGATGCCGATGCCAAGAAGGCCGATGCTGCCCGCAAGAAGGCCGAACGCGATGCCATGCTCGCCGAAGAAGAAGCCTCCCAACCATCCAAAGCTAAGGGTGCCGGCGCAAAGACTGCGCAAAAGAAGTCTCGTGGCCTCGACCTTGGCCAACTCGATGACACCCCAAGTGGCAAGCCGGGCTCTCTCAATGCCTCCGGTATCGACAATGCCTTAGATGCTCTTTCGTTGACAGGCAAGGACACTTCGAAGGTCGAGAAGCACCCGGAGCGACGATTCAAGGCCGCCTTTGCTGCTTTCGAGGCCCGCCGTCTACCCGAGATCGAGGAGGAGAACCCTGGCCTGCGCCGACAACAGCGTATTGATCTGTGCCGGAAGGAATTCGAAAAGAGCGAGGAAAACCCCTTCAACCAGGTGCACGTCAAGGTCAATGCGACCAAGGAAGAAATTTCCCAGATGCGGGACCAGGAGCGTTCGAAGACTGAGGCCAGACTTGGAAGATAAATGTCCAGGATATGTTGTGAACTTCTACATCCTACCGTTCTTGGGTGGTACTGAAACGCAGAAGTTTGCTTCTTTTGGCCCCCTAATGTTACGCGATGGACCATTGTCAACTCGAAGAGAGTACGCTAGGGCGGCGGCTTACGCTGCGCGCATTTCATATGGTTGTTCTAAAAAATGAGGACGATATGCTCTGATGAGTATTGATGATAGACTGGGTCTAGCTTGCCAATTGGGTTCGTGCACAGTGCATTATGAGCTCGATGAGCATGAACACAAAAATTACGAAATGCAATGACTGATATCCATACTTGATACTACGAGTACTTTTGTCAAGGCGAACATCTATAAAACGGTTGCCTTACTTGGGTAAAATTACTAGTATAAACCTTTTTATAGTACTAGTATGTTTAGTAGGTTCACTGCCATCTAGTGACTTGACTTACTCAATTAGCAATAGCGCGACAATTCAAGAACACTTCCTGTTAGCGAATCCTTCAAATTGATATATTGCTGGCTGGCTGTCTAAACCAGAAAGAAGGCTGATAGCAAAGAAAAATACGCTATGCCCGGGTTATAATCCTAAGTCATTGAACCTCGTACATCCCATACATAAAGACTCTCATCCCACCCAACACTGGCGCACCAACCCTCGCTACCGAATAGACACCAATCAACGCCAGTCACAAATTCGGTATGTCTACCCATCCGCCCCAGCTCCATACCGACCATCGGACCCGGCCCAGAACGCATCATATCCATATCACCGGCTGCGCTTGGATCTGACTGATCACTCCAGACACGACAAGTCATATCATAACTGGCACTCAGAAGCACATTTGATAGATGTGGCGACCAGGCTACCTTGCGAACGGCATAGTCATGACCCAGCATAGTAGTGAGTGGGCCTTGTTGCGGGGCCCGGATATCAAATGTCCGAATAGCGCGATCAACGCCCGCCGTGGCTAGGACAGTAGAGCGGTATTTATTCCAGTCGTGAGTGAGCGCCTCTGCGGGCGCACATGGCGCAGGTGGAATGCCGGGCTGGCCGGGGATTGCGGGGGCTGCGGGGGCTGCGTGAATAGGGATTTGAACGGCGAGGTGGTTGGAGGCGGAGGCGGGTGTACGTAGATCAAAGATACGCACGTATGAGTCGGAGGTTACGCAGGAGATAAGTTCGGGATTATGAGGGCAGAAGGCGGCGGAATAGGTGCAGCTGTGGGTGGGGAGAGTGAGGAGGGACTGTGGGCGATGCGGCGACCAAACACGGACTGTGCCATCCCAACTGCTGGAGCAGAAACGATCTTTGGCGACCAGGTTCCAGTTAACGCTGAAGACCTCGCGGGCATGTTCCTTCCAGTTTTGAACAGGGTAGTCGTTGGCCGAGGTGTCGAATAATTTGATGCTGCCGTCGCCGGAGGCAGTGAGGACTTGATTCTCGTGGATTTCTGACCAAGCCAGATCGTAGAGGGAGTCTTGAGTAGTGAACCTATATATTCCGAACAAAATTGTGCCGTTAATTCATTATTTCCAGCTGCGAAGGAGAGGGGGGAGCTTCCCCCGCGGAGAGAGACCGCAATACAAGCAAACCCACTCACCATTTGACAGGTACGATTCCGTTGGGAGTCAACTCCAAGATATACAATCGACCATTTCCGACCAGGCCAAAATTAGCCGCGCTGGCAACAGCTAATCGATTGTCGAAAAAAGGCGAGTATTTGACCGCGCTGCCGTTGTAGCCCTGTGTGCGGAAGTGAAGCATACTGAGCGTCCGACCGGTTGACGCCCGTCGCTCGATATTGAAGCCGTGAGAAGGGGAATCAAATGACAAAAGGAGGTAGGTCAGAGGGTATCACACGTGAAAATCAATCAGGGTTGTCCAGCGCGGCGCGTCGGAGGATTGAATGACATCGGGATTGCGGGGAGGATCAAATGCGATGGGCCGAGGTCGACTTTCGGTGCGGCCCACACGCCTATCAGCCATTCCCGCGCGAAAGGACGGGGCCAAGCTGAGGCCGGAGCAGTGAAAGTGAACTAATATAGAACTGTAACTGTAACCTTTTATATTAAACTGTTCGTATCCCATTGAATTGACCCGAATTTATCTCCAATCATTGAAGAGATTGGTTGTCTTTCATTTGCCATGTACCTGTTGTGATGGATGGACAGTTAATTATAGTAGTTCGAATAGGTATACTACTAGTAGTATACTATTCCTAGGGAAATAAAAAATCATAGTATAAAAGAACTTGAATGAGCCCGAGAAACCTTGGAAGTGATCATAACACCTGAGAGCCCAAGGCATAGTTGTATACAGCTTTCAACTAATCGTTGACGTCAATAACCGATCTATCCCGAATGTCTCATTAGCCGGGTGCCCATACTAACTCAATAAACGGAAATGCGTCTAGACTTTCTTCCTTGATATTTCATTTCATAGGTTCATTAGTGAGGAAGCATAATTCAGAACCATTCCCTAAAGTTTCGCCTCTTCGACCGTCAAAAAATGGGACATGACGTATCCCGCCGTGAAGAACTTATCTCCCCCGCCTTTTTTCAACCTTCGCAATTCCTTTTTTATTCAATGAGGAACTCTTTTTAGAAGGATCCCCTAAGAGAACATTCCAGCAAAATACGCGGATGGGATTGGACCACTCATCGGACAATTGCGATCATGGCCGACCGAGATGCCTCTACGTTTACCTCTCCCGCCAACGTTTTCCTCCAACAGGAAGTCTACCGACTGGGAAATTCTCCCGGGTTGCGACATCTTCCTCCCGGTCCTGAGCGTGACTTCATAGTTCTCACCTGGGGACCTGTCATTTATCGAACGTCCTACGTTCCGGAAAGCAAACATCTTCTCCCCGTCTTCCTGCGGCTCCTTAATGATGCCGTCAGTCGGTCAATACATCGAATATTGATTGGCTCTGCCGAGCAAGTCAGACTTCTCGAAAAGACATATGCCTCGAAGGTATTCAGCGTACAAGATATGTACGACAGTCTGGACGAAGATAGGGTTCGCGATGCATTTCACGATTACAAAGTCTCTCTAGCCATGCCTGTCACGGAATTACCGAGTAGACTACGCGCATGCTTGATGGTAGATGATGAGGTTTTATCACATATGAGGGCTATTCTGGACATTCCGACCATGGCTGGACAAGACACAGATGTCGGGCGGTGCTGGGTAAAAGTTATCGAAGACAACTTCCCGGATGCAAGATTCGGCGATAAGCCGTACATTGCCAGTATAGACGGGAATAAAAAGGTTGATGGGACTAAAGAACACCAGGGAAAATATCGCGGCTGGACCATGGTATCATTGTCTGCGTTGTTGGAAGTATTTGATGGGCTGCGACAGATGAAGTACCTGGTGGAATATCATCGTGAGGGGCGAATTTACTTAGGGGAAGGCAAATGGAGTGCTATAAAGTAAAAATTGAAATTGATTATAATATCAATTTATCATTGCACGCCACAAACTGTTATACGATGCAGATATTTCAAGCCTGCCGATTTAAAAAGTAGGAGATACTTTCTGATTGGTCACTTTGGAAGCAATCATGTGCCGATAAGGTCTTTATCGTGCTGCATCATCCCAGATTGGAAGCGTCCAGGGCTGATTTCAAATCCAACCAACCCTCTAGGCTTTTCGTGTATTCCCGTCGAATATGGTGATGGTGCTAAGCATCCATGGATGCATTCATCACGAGAAAGAAACGAAGGGTTTCTGCACCCAGAGAGGATCCCAGCCCAGCACATGAGACTCTCAATCTCCCATCGAATTCGGATATCGCAGGCGATGATTCGACGGACGTCAAACTAGCCATTCTGATATCCCTGTTCCCAAATGTCGGACAAGACGATATCCTTGATATCCTCGTATCATGCGATGGGTCTGTAGAAGCCGCTTCTTCACTGCTCAAGTCACAACCTCCCGCAAAACAAACACCAGGAAAAAAGCGAGCGACTCCCAGCTCGTTTCTGGGTATTCAAACATCACTGTCATCCCATGTCATGACCAAATCCAAGGATGGGCTACTCACATCTCTCAGCGAAAGCATGCAGAGTCGGAAACCTCCAAATATCAAGAAAGGGAAGACGCTACACCTATATGCCCCTGAGGACATCGCTGCTTACACGCCTTGCACGATCATACACAATTTTCTTCCCCCCGAAGAGGCAAATAATCTACTTGTTGAGCTGCTCGATGAATCCAAGTACTTCTCCCGATACGAGTTCCAACTTTTCAACCGCACCGTCCAGAGTCCCCATAGCGCGTGTATATACGTCTCTACGCCCGAAGAATTCAAACGACAGACATCTGAGTACACTTATGGCGGGACCTATCGAGCAAATGTGCGGCAAGCAACGCCGCATCTGCGCTCCGCATCGCGAAAGGTTCAAAGCCTCGTGAACGACGAGATACAAACACGCATCAATAAAGTCTATCCAGAAGGAAAGAAACTCAAATTCCAATCCCCGAAGGATTGGCGCCCCAACGCTGCATTTGCCAACTGCTATAATGGACCTGCGGAGAATGTGGGGTATCATTCAGATGACCTGACCTACCTCGGACCACACCCAGTAATAGGAAGCTTAAGCCTGGGCGTGGAACGAGAATTCCGAGTCCGCCGGATCATCCCTCAAGATGATGCGGACGAAGAGGATGATAGAGAGACGAATCAAGATCATGTCGACTCATCCTCACGATCCACTAAAGATGAGAGAGCGGCAACAGCCCGCGCCGATGCTCAGGGGCAGATCTCCATTCATCTTCCCCATAACTCTCTTCTTGTGATGCACGCAGAGATGCAAGAGGAATGGAAGCACGCAATAACTCCTGCTCAGACAGTTTCCCCTCACCCGGTCTCCGGGAATTGTCGAATTAATGTTACTTACCGCTGGTATCGTGATACTCTACATCCGCGTAACACACCACGATGTCGATGCGGTGCACCGGCGATTCTTCGATGTGCACAGCGCAAGCAAGAGAACCGCGGCCGCTATATGTGGATGTGCTATGCCGGATATACACCAGGAAAAGAGGGGTGTTCATTCTTCCAATGGGCCGAGTTCGACGACGACGGCGATCCGGTGTGGGATCATAAGCAAAGCAAGGATGTGGCACCAGCTCTGTCCAATTTTTCAGCATCGCAGTAGACCATAGCCAATCTTAACTCCATTTTCCCCAGAATTTCTCGGACTTTCCCCATTTTGTAGAACAAATTAGCCAAGTTTACTAGCTCCCATCGGTCTGCGACAAATTGAGGCCCACAACTGGATCCATTTCTTTTTTGTCCCCACCTTCAGCTTGTCATCCGCCCCACGAGAGATCCGTAAAACTAGCAAAAGGCCAAAGGTTGAACGAATAGTCGATATCGATTGGAGATCAGAGGGTATCTATTGGCACCAGATAGAGTTGATGCGGGGGTTATTCCCCTTTCGCGGAATTAAATTCCGTCCTCCACCTTTGATACCCCCCCCAGAACACCTCGGGTGCAAAATCTCACTTTCTGCAGCGCGGTTCAGCAAAATGGAGTCGTTGAATACACTAAGACGGTATACGAAAGATGACTTAGTGGGGTTTCCTCGATGGGCTAATGAACTGTCATGCTGAGGCGCCTCGCCCTTGGCCGCCCCGCCTCCATGCGTTAGGCGGAATTCCGCGCTGCTTGGCTCGGTGTATTTAGGGGACGAGTATTTAAGGGAACTGTGATCGCTGGTTCTTTTGGTGAAGAACTTTGAATTTCTTTCTGGTCCTTCGTTGAAATTGTTCTCTGTGAACTTCAGTTTCAAGTTGTTTATCGCAACATGGCTTCCCAGAACGACAGCTATGATTATATTGTCTGCGGGTGAGATTGATCAATTCTAGAAACTTCAGTCTGAGATTACTACTGACCAATGTAACAGGGGTGGCACATCTGGCTGTGTAGTTGCCGGCCGTCTAGCAGAGAACCCAGAGATCAAGGTCCTTCTCATTGAAGCTGGCCAACATAATAAGGACCTGGAGAATGTACACATGACGGGCGGGTAAGCTGTCCACCACTCGCCGAAAGAGCTTTCAGTTACTGATAGGATAGGTGGTCAAATAATTTCGATTCAGAGACCGATTGGAATGTTGTCACTCCTCCAATGGCTGGTGTGGCCAATCGCCAGGTGAAATTAAGTCGTGGACGTTTCTTGGGTGGCTGCAGCGGCTGTAATGGTACACTTTGCATCCGTGGAAATAAGCAGGACTACGATGACTGGGGACTCGATGGATGGAGCGGTGAGGATTTCTTCAAGTACATGAGAAAGGTGATATTCGATCTCTGCGGAGGTTATAGGGACCCATTTCTCACAAACGAGTATAGGCGGAAACATTCCACCCTAAGCCTTGGTTTCAAGCCGATAAGACCAGCCATGGCTACTCCGGACCATTGCATACCGAGCCTCACGATCTAGCGCCAATTTCAAATCTTTTGATAGATTCGTTTGTGTCGGAGGGAATGCCACTCAATCACGACATGTTTAGTACCGGAGACGTCCCACAGGGCTGTGGCCATGCTCCTCGCACTGTTTATGAGGGAATTCGGACCACAGGCGCAGATTTTGTGACCAACAAGAACCACCGAGGCAATATTACGATCCACACAGATACCACAGTGGACAAGGTTATCTTTAACAAGCAAGGAGACCAACCCCGTGCAACTGGTGTCGTGACCAAAGGAACCGATGGCAGCTCCAGGACGTTTTTTGCCCGGAAAGAAATCATCATCTCCGGTGGGGCATACTGCAGCCCTGCAATCCTACTCCGGTCTGGCATTGGGTCCAGAAAGGAGCTGGAGAAGCACCAAATCGAATGCATAGTAGATTCACCAGGTGTTGGCAAAAACCTTATGGATCATCTGGTTAGGTCCACTCCCGAGTCTGTCTCGTTGAATCCACTGACTGATAATTATAGATTGTATTCATGTTCTACGAAACCGAGAAAGCAGGACTAACAAACGACTATCACGTCTACCACGGCGACAATTTCGACAAGACCTACGCAGAATATAAGGAGAAGAAAACGGGTTTCCTCTCCACATTCCCCTTTGGCGCCTTTGCCTTTGCCAGAATCGACGATCGACTCAAGGATGAGCCGTTATGGAAGAATGCCCCTCGTCTACCAGGTCGTGATCCCATGGGTCTCACACCCTCTCAGCCCAACATCGAGTTTTTCACGACAGAGTGCTATGGTGGACCAAAGCAATATGACCAGTTCCCTATTGACCAGAAGCACGCTTTCTCGATGATTGCGGAATTGTTCGCGCCCAAGTCTCGTGGCTCGGTGACTTTGAGCTCGACTAACCCCATGCAGAACCCTATTGTTGATTGCAATTATCTGGCTGATCCGATGGACCTGCTGGTTCTAAGTGAGGCTTGCCGATTTGGAAATGAAGTCGTTATGAAGGGGGCTGGAACAAAGGATATAGTTAAGGGTTCCTGGCCGCCTAATTTAAACCATCATACCTACAAGACAAGAGAGGAGTGGGTGCCCTATGTCAAGGAACATGCTACCACTTGTGAGTCCACAAAATCTACAATTCGGTTTTTATCTTACCGCTGACGACTGTTTTAGGCTACCATGCGGCGGGTACATGTGCCATGGGTAAGAATGATAACCCAATGGCTGTTCTGGATGAGAAGATGCAGGTTCGCGGTGTCTCTGGTCTGCGAGTTGCTGATTGCAGTGTCATGCCTACTTTGCATGGAGGACACACTCAAATGCCGGCTTACGGTATTGGAGAGAAGTGTGCTGACCTCATTAAAGAGACATGGCGAATGACTGGAAATGTTTATAGTCGAATTTGACGATGGCAAATTGCCACTTGACATTAGTATGTAAGTACTACTAGTAGATAGTGATCTGGGCAGTATTAGAGGAATATAAATTATTACTTGGTATCCTACTATCCTACTCACTTGTATACTCAGTAGCCTATATTGCGCGGATCAAGCAATTTGGAATGGTCGAATCCCGAGGTCGCTTCACTGAGGGGGTGGCAGAGCTTGATAGTAGGGAAAACTATTAATTTTGGATGGAATGCGGCAGAAAGCGCTTTTGATTTTGGCTTTGAACTAGTATACATAATACCATGAAGGTTGTAGCTATTGGGATAGTGGAAACAGGATAAAAATAACTACGAAAAAGCAGCGAGTTACGATAAAATATTTGGGCCATCTATGCCAAACTGAACGTAAACTTTTCGCCGGGCTGAACAAAAGTGGTGCTCGGGTTCTCTAAGTCTGCCTTGTCATGACTTGCACGTCGGCTGCGTAGACTGGTGACATAGGTTTCGTGATTGACAGTGCAAATTGTTGGAAGAAGTGAATGCTCATATTCAACCTGAACAGTGAGGATTTGTTCAGGTAGATCTCTGACCCAGCCCATCAAGAATTTGTTGATTCCAACAATTGTCTCCATAGCGAGTTGGGGTAGTTTTTGGAGTTCCTCTCTATCCGTTTCCTGAAACGCGACGGGGATTATGACATCTATTGGAAGACTCCATACTTCTCCAGGGCGAAGTGATGTGATCTGATAGAATTTGGCGACCGGCTCTATTTGGCACCCCGGCCCTGGGGTCAAACCGATTTTGATATGATCAAGGGACCCGTGACGTATACCAAGACGAATGTGCCGAAGGGCTTTGGCAATCCTCTGGGCGAAATGAGTCCTCTCGCTGCCAATTTCTTCAAGATCATAAAATATATGCCACCCAGGTTGGCGATTCATGTGATTGATAGGACAGTAGCTCTGGGGCGTGATTGTGTGGAAACCAATGGCTTTATCGATCCAAGGTACCTGGTTGTTGGAGGCGCGATTTGCGGGCGAAACCGAAGAAAGAAAAAATAAGTGGCAGTAAGCAATTCTTGGCGAAGCGCTGAAAACCCTGGAAGATTCACGAATGGCGACTTCAAAGTTATATCTTTTCGTGTTGCCAGCCCGCGAGCGATGGGAAAAGATATTGAGAGCGGCCTGAATATTGTCCACGGAATGGAAACCCAATGGAAGCAATAACTGGAAGTGATTCGTGAACGCTTCATTCACATAGCCAAGAGCAATGCGATCCTGACCTTGAATTGTATGCGAAGCCAAAATCGTTGATCCTAGGATAAACTGTGTGAGGGAGTGGCCAGGTGCGGTGGGTCTAGGCATATGATAAGTATAGTGTCAAGCCTAGCATAGAGACACGTCAACATACAAGCTATCAAGGAGAATAACGATATCGAGGGGCGCAAGGCTCGACGGTTCTGGTAGTGGAACGAAACTGACATCGGCAGAGACAGTGATCGTGGTCGTCACGCTTTCTTTGCCAAACCCGATTTGTGGTGGACTGGTGGTTGTCTGTACATCAACAAAAGCGATTGGCAGATCCATCGGACAGAGAAATTGTGAGTTTTCCCAGCATTTTGATCCATTTGAAAGATTTCCTAGGTTCGATGAAGGCTTTGTTCCAATGGAGGAGTCTGACAATGGCAGACTTGGCAGAGAATCGCTGTAAGATCCAGAGCTCCAGCGAATCTGCAAACCATGGGGAGAATTTCGACGTCGGGCGTTCTGATCTCGCTTTTGTGATTTGGTAGGGGCCTCTGGGATCTGCAGACTATGTCAGTGAAGAACCAGAGATTCCGGGTTTCGAGGCACAAACAATCATTGAGTCGGAGAATGGGTCCTCTAGGGATTTCCAAAGAAAATTCCCTGTGCCTTGAGAATATTGTTGATCGTTTGTTCTTCTTTTTGTGACTTCAATCTGATATGAACTGCTGCTGTAAGACGGGGTTCGTGTTGACGTGGGCGGGCCGTCAGTGCTGTTTCCTGCACTATATAGGGATGAAGATCGCCGCGGGATACGTGGATAGGATGTCGACGAGATATTACTTCGAGTGCGTGTGAGTCTGAATTTCTTGGCAGTGTCGGGCCTTGGGGTATCGTCGCCCATCGCTGATTGATCCGCTCTAAACATGCTCCCTAGTGTGAACAGGAGATGCGTAATTCAAGGGTACCTCAGAAGTTTCGGTGCCTTGACCGGTACCACTCTCGAGATCAGAGTGAAGGCGCTTCTTGCGACGGTGCCGAGTTCGGCAAGAGAGCCACGAGAGCCAGTGGGGTGTGCTGAACCGACAGCTGCAGTGCTCAGAGCAGGCCAGGGCCACAGCGACTGCACAGAATAGAATGACGATAGGAATCAATACCAGGGCGATAAGCAATGCAGAGCTCTTGAAATCAAGAGATATAATATTGGACATCTTGAGGGGAGAAGGTGTATGTGCGGAGGAAGTGGCTTTTGGGAAATGGAAGGCGACTCGACTTAGGCCGGCGCAGTGGTGGCCGTGGCAGTGACCAGAACCATGACCATATGGAAGTGGGAAGGAACGAGGAACTGTTCAACTAGTAGCATTGGCTGGGTATATTTGAAGGCAAGCATCTTCTCTTCACTCTTCACTCTTCACTCTTCACTCTTCACTCTTCACTCTTCACTCTTCACTCTTCACTCTTCACTCTTCACTCTTCACTCTTCACTCTTTATGTACGTGCGCCACTGCAGCCATCATCTCCTTCACCGAACTCAAAGTCGCCTCGTCCAATCGCGAGAATCTTATCTGTCAAGAGCGTCAATTTCTGTATCAGAATATGTAATATTGGAGTGGCTCTTACCATCTCATCGCCTGCTCGAGAGGCGTTCCCAAACAGCATGGGATCGGAATTACTAGTCTCGATCTCAGTCTCTACTCGGCGGGCCCAAATCCCATCCCAATGCCAGTCACCAGGAAGCCGAGCCTGCGGACTTCCCCGTTTCAAATCACCAGGAGTATGTCCACCCCTGCGATGAGCTTTCCATGCGTGCCACGCGCCCGGATTCCCCGCTGCCTCGACAGGTAATGAGTCTAGCACTTCCTCGTCGTCAAACGTCGATCGGATATACTCAAGCAGTTCGTAAACAGGAACAACCGTCCTAGGTTGAACGAATTGATCCAAATTAGGCACTTGTGCAACTCGGACGGGTTCTTCTTGAGCCTCGGTATTCTCTTCGTTGCTGATCGGCTGATCTGAGACAGCGTCTGAAGTATGTGGCGTGTCCGATGGTTGTTCGGTCTCCAATTCCAATTTAGTTGCGCTCCGTCTTTCCTCGGCAGGAGAAACCACCTTCACACTATTCCCGCTCACATTGCGCGACGAGGCCCCAGATGCAATGTCCTTTCGTGTCGCTCTACCGAACCAGTGTGGGAAACCATGACGGAGGCTGAAGCCACCTGGAGGCAAACGTTCCTCATCGGTCGCACTGACAGGGTTATCACTTGCTGAGCTAGTACTGAAGGTATATGTTGTGAGGGGAACGATCAATGGGTGAAACACATCGGTCGCGAAGGTGACAAGTGGAGGTAGATCGGGGTAGACGTCGGGGAAGCGGATTTGTAGGCGGAGAACTGCGGAGGCATAAGGGCCTGGAGAGAAAATTGTCCAATTTAGTAAGGAGCAAGAGTTCTTGAAGGAATCAAAGCTCACCGGAGCGTACGAAGATGACACCATTCCAGAGCGTGGGGTCTCCAGGCGCGAGGCTCACGTAAACCCCTGGCGGTGCAGCATGCCGCAGGCTGGCACTGTGGAGAGTTAGAGTGGAACTTGAGGGATGAGACGGCGACTCTCACAATTCCAAATGCAACTGCTGCCTCCGAACCGAGGGGACGCAGGGTAGTGCTGTAGTTGACATTGTTTGAGGTGGTGCGGAGGAAAGTTGGCGATGAATTGGAGACCAAAACATCCCCGGGGCCATTCCTATGGGACCGCTTATCACCTTATCACTACAGTGGACCACCACCCTGGGGCATAGAACAAGTATAGAAGTATAGAAGTATAGGAGTATAGCTGAGTTGAGGTCGTTATTCATAATTGGGCTAATCTAATACCCGTGGTCTACTTAAAGTGCCAATCTATCCAGTTCTAGTCCTTGTTTCAACAATCCCAAACGAATCATACCTTCGCCCACTCCTTCATAGACACCACCCGCAATTCCTTCGACCCACCACGCCGCCAGGTTCCCAACTGCTGCCCCGACGCGCCCTTCATTGAATTTGCAGACCGCCGAGCCAATGCTCACGCCACTCTTTCCAAGCCCATCCGCGGCATCTAGCGTAGTTGTCACAATACGCTCGGTGATGCGATGAGATCGTTCGTAATCGTAGACCTGGCGGAGAAATACTTTGAAATAAGGTAGAATGAACCGCACTAGCAGAAAGATTTGCACAATAGTTGATGCAAGAAGTCTGTGTAGATATGACCTGGAGGGTGGTGGTTGTCTGCTCTGCGTGGGACTTTCTAGTCGAGCCAGATGTGATGATGGGCTGGTTGCTATTGATGCTTTCATGGGCTCTGGTAGACGATGTTGTAGCATAGCCGACTCTTCGGCACTCAGATCTGCCGGGAGAGCATCTAGCAGATACATCAATGCACTTATGTAAAGAGACCGAGCCAGTCGGCCATCAGCTCTTGGTTGTTGTGCCTCATATCCTGCATTTCGGAGAAGATTGAACGCTTGGAGAGAAATGACATGAGTCAAATGCATTCGGCTGGAGTCCAGTCAAGGTTCGATCTCACCTGGCACAACACGGTTCCACCGCAAGCCCGACTCGGTTTCGTACTTTGCGGGGGGTCCACTCTCTTCTGTTTGAGGGCTGTTCGAGCCAGATGATCCAGACCCAGAGTTCAATGAATCCAAGTCATCGCTTGCTGTCGAGGGCCGTTGTATTTCTGTGGCGAGATTGCCGGAAAGCTGGCTACCGTAAGGGAGATATGGCTCCGACGATGAGGCCAGCGCATGACGCAGGGCCTCGCTCGTTATCTCTTCGGGATCAGATCCAGCCCTATGTGACGGGTACAACCGCAGCAGCCGGCGTCGGATTGATGCTGGAATGGGGAGTAGGGGAAGTCTGGAGTACTCCATTTCGAGGCTCTGTTACTGGCAACTGCGAACGATGGGCGGACTGAATCACCCCGAAGCTTTGTGGGAAAGTGCAGGAATCTGGAAATTCCAGCGACGAGGTGATCTGACAGATAACGGTCCTGCGGCAATTTTTCTTGCATGCGCATTACAGTTTCACATGCTAGCGTTGGCGACTCTGATATGCCGATAAGAGTGGGGGCAAACACCCCTTGGGAGGATGGTGTCCAAATCGTGGCGGGGCGAGCGCTGCCAGTTGAATCTAATCATTTGGAGGCCAGATCAACATGGCTGGTCGATCAATTTAGTCTCATGGCCCTAAATCGAGCTAAGGAATTCTGCAGTGGCCAGGTCAAGCCACCGGCTTCAACCACCATAGGCATATGGATAATGCTGGTCAGATGGGACTAAAGTTGAACTTGAAACAACATAGGCCATCCCATGGGAAATGGCAGAGACCCTCACCGCCATTCCTGAAATATACTCTAGAGTCTAGAAGTCCAAATATCTAATAATGGGACTAGTATCTCATTCTTTGAACCCAAAAATCTTCGAATTAAATTATACATAAGGTAGGAATGCTTTGGAACGATTTTCTCACTTTTCAATCAAGTCGAGGATGAGCCATATAGAATATTAGTGTTTCTTTCTTGCAACGAATAAGGATGGATTAATGACCTTATCACCACAATCCACAGAGGTTAATGAGATTGCTTTTGTAGTAATTCACCACTGATGCCCTCCCACTAGCTTATGTGGCGATGGATGGTGGTACGATCTTTCTTTTTCACGAATTGCTCAATCCTAATTGGCATTCGTTGCGAAAATTTATGTATTTTTTTTGTTGAGTATTAAAAGAGACTCAAAGTCCGCATATTTCAAGTTTGCTTGCACAGCCAAGACTTGACTAATTAATCATTTTGGATGTTCTTATTCCGACCATGCCATTATAGTGTGTTCTAGCAGTTCAAGTTGGGGAATAAATGTCGTCTGATATACTAGAAAATATTTTGTTTTGCTGGCCCCATCACTGCATAGTTGTCCGATCCTTAGCAGATTCGCACCTTGTTTGAACAGATTGAGTCGTGGAACGGGCCAGCCAAAGCCTTATTCAACGCCCCAAATGGGGGCCACGGGGGCCAGAAACCAACAGAATGGCTGAAAGAATGTATCCCAGGATTCAGTCCCGTCAAATTGAATAGGCTATTGTTAGGCAATTACCCAGAAGTACTGTTTGTGCGGCTCCGAACATGTACCATGGTAGTGATCACGACCCACAGGTAGATTTGGTGAGACAAAGTGCAGACATCCTTTAGCCCCAACAGCCCAACAAATTCAACTACAAGCATGGAATCACAACACGTCACTTCCACATGAGACCGAGGATCCAGAAGTTTGATCAAAGTAATCAAAGAGTTTTATTCAAAGGATTAAATATAATCTTGTTATCTTCCAGTTTCGTAGTATATTGCGTATTGCTTTCCCCCCCTCCATTCTATTTTTCACACCCTTCATATTTTCTACCATACTTTTCATCCCGGGTTATTCTCTCGAAAATGATAGAAAACGAATCTACCTCTGAAAAGGGACATATTACAGAGCAACCAATTACCATTCACAATTGGTATCACCATATCAACTGGCTTAGCACAACGCTCATCCTAATTGTCCCCATCTTTGGGTGCATCGCCGCACCTTTTACCCCATTGAAGCTACCTACGGCTATCTGGGCCATCATTTACTACTTTTGGACAGGATTGGGCATTACTGCTGGATATCATAGACTTTGGTCGCATCGATCATACGAGGCGTAAGATTATTGGTTGTGTCTTCCCTGCACGTTCCATCATCGAACTAACTGATTTATTCAACATAGTGGTCTACCCCTCCGTGTTTTCCTCGCCTGTGTTGGTGGCGGCTCCGTGCAAGGTTCTATTCGATTTTGGAGTGCCAAGCACCGAGCTCACCATCGATGGACGGATACTGTCAAAGATCCATATAGCGTTCGGAAAGGATTGATCTATTCCCATCTCATGTGGATGGTTCTGAAGCAGAACCCGAAAGAAAAGGGCCGAACGGATATCTCTGATTTAAATCATGATCCGATTGTTGTATGGCAGCACAAGAACTATGTCTCTTTCATCTTGGTATTCGGGATCCTGTTCCCAATGTTCGTTGCCGGTTTGGGATGGGGTGATTGGAAGGGCGGCCTGTTGTATTCGGGCGTTCTGAGATTTTTCTTCGTACAACAAGCAACATTCTGTGTTAACTCTTTGGCACATTGGCTTGGAGATCAGGTCAGTGGTGACCGAGGAGCCTAACTTCTTTTACGCGCTAACACTTCTTAGCCTTTTGATGACAGAAACTCACCCCGTGATCATGTTATTACTGCCCTTGTCACCTTGGGCGAGGGTTATCATAACTTCCACCATGAGGTAGAGATAATCTAATCCTCAACTTTCTATTGAAGTGCGAAATTTCAAGACTAACATGTTTGTAGTTCCCCTCCGACTATCGCAACGCCATCCAGTGGTGGCAGTACGATCCAACCAAATGGTCGATCTGGATGTGGAAACAACTGGGCCTCGCCTCCAACCTCAAGCAGTTTCGGGCCAACGAAATCGAAAAAGGACGTGTGCAGCAGCTACAAAAGAAGGTCGACCAAAAGCGAGCTCGCCTAGATTGGGGCACTCCTCTAGAGCAGCTTCCTGCCATTTCCTGGGATGATTTCGTCTCTGACGCTCAATCTGGCAAAGCGCTCATTGCTATTGCGGGCGTGATCCATGATGTGACTGGCTTTATTAAGGATCACCCTGGTGGCAGGGCTTTGATCAGCTCTGGAATCGGCAAGGATGCCACGGCTCTATTTAATGGAGGTGTTTATAACCACTCCAATGCCGCGCACAATATTCTGTCCAGCATGCGTGTCGGCGTGATTCGAGGCGGAGGCGAGGTCGAAATCTGGAGAGGGAGAAGAATGAAGAGGCAAGATGTTACTGGTGACGATGCTAGTGGGTGATGTAATATTTTAGACTAAACAAATAGAAAGATCACATCTCACGGCCCGACCGAATCCCAGGATTCCTGGAATAGAAATTTCAAGACATAAGATCTCAACAGGGGACCCTGGTCAAAACATTGGCCTCCGTGGCAGTTTTTGAAAATCGACTTCTAATTATTCTCCAGCTTTCACATTAGAGCCGCTCGATGTGCTGCTGGTCCACGGTTATTTTTGGCTTAGACAATGATTTATTCGACCATATCGATGCCCAGCCTTTCCATACGAAGAATTATTTCTCGAGAATGAATTCAATGCTACAATTTTCGATGAATGATTCTGTAGGGTCAAAAATTCGCTAAAATTGTTGGTGTCTCTTCGCAAATCCCGCCTAACGGCCATGTATTACTTCAGGCCCTCCAACCCCGCAGTGCAGGCTCTGAGAACCGAGAAATTGTAAGACATACACTTTGAATACGAGAACTCAGCCGCAGGTGCTCGAGTAAGAGGTCTTGCGTCTCAGTGGGCATCCCCAGATTTTCTCGTGTTCGGCTGCCTCGGATAGGTCCTAACCCAGATCATGTGGTTCTCTTAGTGGTTCTCTCAGCGATTGTTTAGTGCCGTGCATAATTCTTCTCGTTTCTACCCTATTTCTATTCGCTCGCAAAAGATGTCTCATTAATCTGATTGGTTTTGTTCGAGTAGCTTATTGTTTTCTAATCGACTCCTCTTGCGTTCGTCCACCTGGACAGCTTACGATGATTGCCACCTAATTTTCCTCTAGGCATCGTTATATACCTGCTTAATATAGACTTAACTTGAAGTCCCAGGAAGAGGCGCAGTAATTTATTATTGAAAAAAACCAGTTGTTCTGACGATTGGGTGCATCTCAGCCGTATTACAATGCATGGTGGCTTTGAATCTTGAGGATATTTATTGAGACACGAAATGACGCCACCATGCAATGTAAGAGGGCGAAAATGGTTCACTGAGATTCTGGGTGGGCTTAGCAAGCTCAGTAATTTTAGATCTAACTTTCAAGGTCTCGCCTACTAGAATTTCGCCTACTGTTTTTAAGATTGAAAATAGTATTAGGTCAGCAGGTCTCGCTCCGTATTACTCGCCCACGAGGTCCATTTCAGTAGATATAAACCGTTACTTGACTAAAGGACTTGGTATGGTCAGCATTAAAAATTGCTCTTTTTGGATGGGGAGATCTGATCAAAAGACCCACCTCTTCGCATAATGCGCGAGGCCACCAGAGAACTTGACGAGGCGCTTTTCTAGGCACGAACAGCGTCGATGCTCTTCTAAGACACCTTCTTAGAAAGTCATCATGAGATCAAGCCGACAGGGCCTAAAATTAGGGAAGAAGGGGGCCTAGATTCATGGCAGGGTGATGTCACGAAGAATAGAATACGAGAAAGTTTCTAAATATCATCTAATACATTACTCTTGGTAGATATAAAAGATCTCTTGTTCCTCCCCCAGGTCCTTGAAAAACATCCCTCAGCACAATCATCTCCAACAATACAAAACATCCTCAATCCACTTCAAAAAATCAAATTTTACGAAGTCTTACTTTTAATCAAAATGAAGTCCGCAATTGTCGCCTCTCTTCTGTTCGTCGCCACTGCCATTGCAGCCCCTCTCGAGGCCCGCGCTGCTGCAACCGTCGGTTTCGCTCTCTCGAATGATCAGAGTGGTTCATATGCCGGCGTTACTTTCCCAGCCGATGGCACCGACAAGAGTATTTCATCCCTCTTCGTCTCCACCTCTGTTGGGTCTTCTGGCCACGTCCTCGCCTCATCCGCCCAACTGACTCAGTTCCCGGGCACGATCAACTGTGTCCTGAAGAACAATGGCGCAGCCCTTGCTACTTTCACTGCCCAAAAGACCTTCGCCGATCTTGACGGCAACCCTGCCAAAGCTATTCCTGTCAACCTTGACCACGCCATCATCAACTGCCACGTTTGAATGACCAATTGAACTATTTAATAGAGCCTTGGAAGGCTTCTGGGTCTTCAGGGATTTCGGATTTAATCTAGTCTATCCTTCATTGTTACCTATCAAGATATATAATCCGTTATTAGTGAGAATTGAATGATTTTATGAAGACATTGCTATCCATGGGTATACTCATTATTACTAATTGTAACTGACACGCAGGATTAACTATAGGAAAGACTGTGACCTGAGCACCTCTCGGGATTGGCACTAATCAAGGACAATTAATGACTTTCCAAAGCTACATCAGGTTGTACCACTAGTACTCACTATTACTAGTACTATTGGAGGATTGAACCTTGGAAGTGGGTCACATAATCCAAACTTGAACTTGAAGTGATCGAGTCGAGCTTTGGGGAGAACCTTCAAAGGTTGGAAGGTTCTTTTTCACCAACGGCCTTTTTGATACTCGGGCTAGTTACTACTAGTAGTAGTATAGTTTGGTCACCATTGGCCTAGGCACTGGCATCCATGATGCTTCCAATTTAGCACTGTCGGGTAACCTTCAACTTGAAGTTGGGATGGATTTGAATTTGAACGTGATACTACTAGTTAGTAGTACAAGTTGTATATATCCGACTCCAACTTGAAAAGTCCCACGGCTACAGTTGGATCCACGAGGTGGATTCTATATTTTTCAAGGTCCCAGCCCCTCTGGTTTTTCTTTTCTTTAAAGTGTCCGTGTCTGGAAAGATCGGAGCTGACTTCCTGCAAAAACAAGCGTACTCTATATATAGTACATAGTAGTAGTGGTTTCTCCACTTTGCCTAGCAGAACTGAAAGGCCCACTCACTCCACACACGAATCATCTGGAGCAAAAATCAATTCTGTGAAAGATAATTGAGCAAAAAGCAACTCCGATAGGGGGAATCGAACCCCCCGGCTGCCGTGTGAGAGACGGCGATGTTAGCCACTACACCATATCGGACGGGTATGGTGGAACTTGTCTGGGTTTAGCAGATTATAGCTCTGCTTTAGCGTCGCTGGTCGCTTTGCACTCCCGTGCGTGGTAGTATATAAATCTCGACCTCCCCCCCGCCCGACCAACACTCCCTCAAATTTGATTTTCGCCCCTCTGCTCCGGTCCCTGCAGCTGAGGCATTTTTGCTATTGATCCGGGTCGCAGAGCTCCGGGGCTTCGCCACCCCTTTTTCTCTAGCCCTCGTCGTTGTCGGCTTCTCGGCGCTCCTCGTGACATCAATCCACCACACTCTCGGATGGACTTCCTCTCGAAAGCGGCACGCCAGAAATCTGGGCAGGTCGGCCGGGAGTTGACCATTACGATGCCGATACCTTTGATATGCGAACTTTGAAGGCTACTGCCTACTCCAATTCTATAGACTGCTGGAACTGATTAGGATCTCTCGCTCATGGATTACATTAAGCCAGCTTGCCCACTCCCCCCCGGAGAACGATTCAATTTCGATTGTTTTGTTGGTGACAAGTACGACCGTTTTTAAGTCGTTTCAACTCGGCTTACTTGAGCTCAGCGATAGAATCAAACATTGACCAAACATCCATTCTCCTTCACTACCCAGTCATTTTTCGCGCACTTGATTCCAAGGCATTCGATTCTGAGACCTGCACTGTCTCGATCCTCGTCATCACGCTTACCCTGGGGCCAGAGCCTGTGGTGGTTGCACGATTGATTAGCAAAGAGGATAAAATGGGCTTGCATTTGTCCCTAAGACCTAATTATGTCTGGGTATAGGTCGCATTCTTAGAATTGAGTGGCAGATACCGGCCGATGGAGCTATGTCACCTATTTAATGTCTAATTTAGGGAGCTAGGTCTCTGCCTCGCTCTTCTGGGCGGCTGAATGATTGGAAGCCAGTATTCCTCGAGTTCCTCGCCTGGATGTTGAGGCACACTGCTATGCAGTCAGCTGTCTGAACTTTGGAGAAAGCGGATGCGGACATGCACAGAATGGCGGTATGAGTGGCTCTAGTTAAACTGCCTCTGAGTGAGCTCTCGAACCATTGGTAGAGATGTTTGTATCCGTGGCGAAAGCGTGATACATCTTAAATAATAAGGTTTTGTTCAGTTATAGATATAAATACCGCTCTAGAAATGGATATATAAGCCTTATTTCCCCCTGTATTATATGGGTCTATGGAATAATCTAACAATATATAGACTATTTTTCTTTTAGCTCTGCTATTATACAAGTTTGTCCCCATAAGAGTAATAAGCTCAGTTCCGAAAACAACTCTATAATGATCAGCAATTCGGAATCTCTTAGATTTTCTTCTAATCTTATTGTTTTCTACTGCAATAAATACAACTTTAACACTGATAGGCTGCCTGTCCAGCCCTCTTCTAATACTGACACCAAAATTATATATACGCCAGAATCTTGGAATAGTGTGATAAGTGACATTGATCCTGACTTACTAAACAAGGATTTAGAGGCTAACTCCTGTGCTTTATATCCAGACTTTAATAAATTCTGAACAGTAGCTTACTATCCCTAGAACAGCTGCTGAGTGAAGACAGAAGGGGTACTATTGTGTTGACTTTATACAAAAGTACTGCGGAGGAATGTCATGCTGAAAAACAGACCTTGTCCGATATTTTAGGTACAGTTCCTGCCAGCCAGGTTCTATCTTATATTTGCTCTAGCTTAGGGCAGAGCCAGGCGACCACTCAGCTGTTATTAAGGGAGTTCCAAGCTGAGAATGTTAGACGGACTGACCTGATAGAAGATGAGATTGCTTTTAAATACTATCGTATCCCGCATTGAGAATGCTGCGACGAGTGAATATACAACAGAAGAATATGCTAGTTGGTTTGACGTGGATTCTTTTCAGCCTACAGAAACGGGAGAGCCTAGTGCCTATCAGATAGAGGAGATAGACCTGACTTCGGTTCTCTGTCTCGACAATCCTCACTATAAGGAAAATTTCCCGACTCGGCCAGAAAAGATCTATGCGAGTCTCTATTAGATAAAGATGAAACCTCGCCTGAGCTAGGGAGAGGGCATAAGTCCCCCCCGTACCCGAGACAAAAACAGGCGATATTTTATGCTCTTTTGATGGGGTGCCGAGGGCAGAAAGCTAGTGTGCCCATAGGCGGAGAATGTACCTGAGAAACCCATGGATTCTAATTGGTGTAGCTGTCCTATCTATATGGCCCCGCTTCATCGGCCCGCATGCATGAAATAATGTTCGGAAGACAGAAAAGCGCAACGCATGTGTCGGGGCACTGATAGCCCCAGTATGTCTGTCATTTGTCATCTATGTACCTAGGCCAACTTATGTTAAGTCAGCCGCTTCGTTACAGTCGTATACTCTAGGGGGAGTAGAAACAAGACGACACAGATCATGTGATCTATGAATCTGATTTCGGGGACTTCAATCCTCCCCATAGTAAGCTTAGCTTTACTAGCCAATCAATCATCAGGTCCACCTTACTTCTCTTACCAGCTTCAAGATTGGACCTACAGGTCACCTACTGGACCCGCATCACTCAGATTGATGGCCTAGCACTTTACTACTCCATATTGAACGTCTACCCTCCTTGCCACACCATACTCTTTGTCCAAGATTACGGAAACACTATCAGACGTCTACTACCGTCTCCTCTCTTCTCCTCGCCACTCTGCCAAAGCAACAAGAGCTTATTCCCTGTCACCGCCACGAAGAACTGGATCTCGCAATGGCCGAGTCAAGGATGCATACCTTCACTCTGGTCATGTTCGGCGGCCACGTGCTTGGCCTAGCTCTAGCCACGGACTTTGTCATGATCTCTAAAAGGTTCATAGCAGACGGACTCAACCCAGCCTGCATATCAAGCACGAACCTGCAGGACATCACCAACGTATATGGACCATTTTTGTTTGGACGTGAAGACCTACGAGACAGGATCCAAATCTATGACGACGAGGAGGCAATGACGCCCTTTTACCAACTAGAGGATCGCAGCCTCAAACTTCCCACCCTTGACTGGGTTAGGAGTACTTCCGCCCAAGTAAGGGCTGGCGATCGTATTATAATAGTTCTGATCGGACATGGTAATTCCGATGGCTATATCGAATTGAATCCCCAGCATGGACCAGTTGAGTTTTTAGCAAAAGCTGAGATGCTTGCGGCACTTTCCGTCTTGCCGCGTGACGTCCGCCTCCTCATAATCAATGAGGCGTGCTTTTCGGGGAAATGGGCCACGATGGCCCCCGATCTAGGTCCCGAACGAGATGTGCTTATAGAGACGTCGACCACCTTTGGCGAAAGATCCTTTACCTATACGTCATAATCCGGACGGAACAGGTGCTCAATGTTCGGCGCAGCACTTATGGAAGAGCTCACAACCCATCCAGAGGGTAGAATTTCCCAGCATCGAAGTAGAATTGTCGACGAGATGCTGTTTGTCCCTCCCTCTCAGGAAACGTCTACGCCCCTCGTCATCCCCTCCACCCGTGCCCTCTTGTCTCACAACATATCGCACTTTGTGCTTTCCCCGAAGATCGTCATGAGTCGCTCTTAAAATCGCGGATCTCCTTCCGCACCTTTTGGCGAAAGCTTCTACGTAAAGGAAGCCCGGAAAGGGAAACAGCGCAGCCATTAGGCGCAGATAGCCTGCCTCGAACAGCGTCGACGTCGATATGAAGGCTCTAGCCATAGAGAGTTATATCAAGGACCTTGGCTCCAAAGCCGCCGCACTTGACCTTGCGACCCTGGTCGGTGCTGGTTGGTGCGTCCTTAACGGCCGTGGACTGCCTGAACTTAAAGATCAGGTAGTAGCAACAATTGCCTGGCAAGAAGCCCAAATGCTGCGCGTCCACCAGTTACTACAGCGTTTGGCTAGGGGGGGGGGGGGGCTGATTACGGACATCGTTGATGCCGATACTGCCCACAAGATTGTTGTAGCACAGTGGGAGGAAGTCCTGGTGCCCCTGGCCGAGGACCTTCGCGAGTTTTGGCGTGCATACATTCCCCTCCGCTAGAGGGCCACGTCCGAATTTCCTTCAATGAGGCAGACGGATGGCTGTACCGGGTTCTGGCCTATAACCAAATCCTGTATCCGGAGACTTTCGACGTCGAGAAGGTGAAGGGGGAGGTGGTTGCTTTCTTTTCTTAGCATTTTTTTTTTCTTACTCTTCTTGATCTTGCTAGTAATCTTATTTTTAGTAACACTTCGCTGAGGAACTCTCAATAAACATTATTGCTACCGTCGACCTTTTTACGCCCGAGCCCTTCTTTACCTTGCTGCCCAGGTGATGAACTTTCTACTAGTAGCTTGTAACTAGAGTATATCTTAACACCAACGACAAAAATAATAGGCGACGGCCACCAAGCAAAACAAGAATACTGGCATGCTATACTAGGGATTGCACCCTTTCGATCCATTACGCTGCCGCTGGTAACCCTACTGAGCGTGGGTGCTGACTAAAGGCCCTACCCAGCGCAGGGGGGGCCTATTCATCTGGGATCTGGTTCGAGAATTTCCGAAGATCGTAAACCTCGAACTTCAACCCAAGCACATCTGGAATACACCGGAAATGGCTACTACTATTCGCCCCGGCCAGTTTCCTGACTTTCACGCCGTGGGACGTCGAACTGGCACGGAAGCTGATCTCGCAGTTCAGGAATTTTTGACCCACTGCCCTCCAGATCTCCCTCCCCGCCATCGCATCGTGGCGCTGCTTGGTACTACTGACGACAAGGGCGAGGCAAGCCCGGCCAAAGACGGCTGGTTTGTTTCGGATTTTTACCTTTTTCACCATCTTCTGTCACCGGAAACTCCTCAACGTAAGTGTTTTGGTTCCAATCTTTACCCCGAGTCCATATGTCCTAACTGTACGGCGTGCAATAGTCGAACCAAATCAAATCTGGTTAACATCTGAAGACCCAGAGTCACTTGTTACTAAGTACAAAGAGTACCTACATGGAGATTCGCAAGGAGACCGGCGGGTGGTATTAGATCGAGCCATGCTCCGCACAATTGTGGACGGCGGCAGAGTGCGCGTTGTGCCACGAGACATGCTTCTCGAAAGGTTCATGAATTCCGTACGTGAGCAGGTCGCTGAGGCACGTAGCCGTGAAGAGCACCTCTTGCTGCTGATATTTGGCCATGGAACTCCTGCATACGGAGTAGAAGTCGCGAATGCTATCCTCCAGATCGCTGATCTGCGCCGCGTACTGCGGGACACACCAGACGTCACCATATTTACGACATCGTGCTACTCAGGTGGCTGGCTGGTATTTCCGGACCCGAGAGGCAAGCACCTTAATACAACAGCAATTGCAGCAGCAGGCCCGAGCGACCTTTCATCATCATGGCCACAAAGTGGCAGTATAGGACGAGCCAGTGGCAGCCTTGCTGCATCCGGAATCCTACGCTGTCTCATCGATACGGAGACCGAGGAAAGACTGGCGGCTGATAATGCCCAGATGGTCGAGGATATCGTTTCCGGAGATGGGATTACGGATACAATGAAGCACCCAACGTATATCCAGCTCGCGAAGTCCATTCATGACTCTGTCAAAAGTATGGGCCTCCTCGGCAGCACTCAACAGATATACTTCTCGGCTGAGAACGACGAATGGGAGACTAGCTACCGACCACGCCTGGGACTTCCGCTTGTGTCATATGAGGCGAAATGGAATGCATTGCGCAAAGTCAACCCGTCTCCTTCCTCCGTCAATGCCCCAACGGCGAGCAGAAGTGGTGGACGGCCACTCAAACGACTTAAATACCTCGCACAGGAATACCTTGAATCTAAACCAGGCGCTGATAACCTCGCCCCAAACCTCAGCTTACACGGATCTCTAAAGAGGGTCCTGCGAGGAGCAATGCTTCCCAAAGAGGAGGTAGAGGAACTGACGGAGATGACAGGATACAGACTTGGTTCTATGTACGAGGCCGACTATCTCCGGAAGGTGGTCGGCCTGCAGTATCCGTCTATTTTCGACATAGATGCTTCAAGTGTGATCGCGGCATTACCGACCGCACGCGCGATCGAGCAACATGAAACGTGGATGCTTCTAATAAAGCTAGACATCAATACGACGCCGATTGGGATCCGGCGCCCCTATGACAAGCCTCTTCACTATCTCACACTTGCCCTGACAGAGACATTGTCCTCGTGGGAAAGCATCGAGGCACATATCAGGGAGATGGCGATGAAAAAAAGGGCATGGTTTAGATTTATATACCAGGCGTGGCAGGGCCACCGTGTTTCTCACGACCAGAATGTTAGGATGAGCCGTCGTGCGTTTCTGGAGGCCTTCAAGTCGATGAAGATTGGGCAGTAGAAATCTGCCAGAATAGTTTGCTTTTTGCTTTTTTTTATATTCGTACCATACTTCAATGCACTCAGTAGCTCTCACTCTTGGGTAATAGCAAAAAGGTCACGGTATTTTCCCCTATTCTCCGCACCTTGTGTGTTCCCCGAGCTGTTGACGTCGAACTGAATATCTGCAGTCCTGACTCCAGTCTTCCAGCATTTGGCATTTTACTACTATATTCCCTCGGTGGTATCCCTTTTTCAATACTAATTTGACAGCTTTAAGTCTAGGACGATGTATTCTCGAAAATCCCAATCTCGGTCGAGTAAAGAAGAAAATAGATATTGTAAGATGGGAATGCTCGCTGGCAATCTGTCAAGCAGACGGGTCGATCACAAGAGGACAAAACCACCACACTCGCAGAGTGCAGGAGAGTAGTAGACAAAGCGTGACGCTATCGAGATGCGACTAGTAAGACATTCAAGTCTTCATGGACATGCGATATACCGATACCGCAACCTCAGCCTCAGCAGCCTCAGCAGAAAGAATAATTCATAAGGGGGAACACGCCTGTTGTTATTGATACTATGGAACGAACGCTACTTATTCTTCCGAAACTAAATGGCTGCCTTGTTACTAAGGCCCCGATCACATGACTGGGATGCCGGTCAGATGACATGTCAGTGGGGCCCAAATACTCGACTTTGCAGAGCGATTCGACCACACGTGACGATGACTAATCCACTGATAGTCCCCTTTCCTGACCCAGAAATTTGTGTCCCTGTTTGCCAGATGAAATCGTGAAAATTATGCTCGAGATCTGTCTGTTTTCGCGCATCGCTTGTTTAATCTGTAGTATATCCAATGAATCACTTTTGAAACGGCCTTTGCGTTTGAGCTGACTGTCGACATACTGCCCAAGCCCACTCAATATATCCTTCACGGGCAAATTGATTGTAAACAAATCGTTTTTGGGCTCACATTGGCTTTTGAATGAATTATTAAAGTTCAATTATTGTAGCCGTGCTTTCTTAATACGCTCATAAGATAATGTGCGCAATCAAAGCGAAAGGCGAAAGGGTGTTTTCGCAGTACGAAACCGCGGCTGAGGTGCCGGAGGCATTAAGACGGAATCCTCGCACAGTTGACCTTTATCCAGGCGATCTCTCGTTTCTGTGCTAACCTATCAAAGAACTTTTACATCCATTATTCCTCGCCTTAATCGGTAATTCGCGAGAAATCGAAAGTTCGGGGCTCTATGTGGGCCTCGTAGGGCCTACGGGAATCTTGCACGACTTCAAACCAGTATGTTGCCCATCCTCGGTGGCCTCTAAGATCTCACCCTGCAGTAGCTTCACCACTCCTTGATGCTTATTTTTGGCCGCTATTGAGAGTGGAGTTTGGCCAAATATATCCAAGGAATCGACAGCAGCATGCCTCTCGAGAAGCAGCTTTACAACTGCCTCGTGCCCATTCTTGGCTGCCAATAAGAGTGGAGTTTGGTGAAATTTATCCCAATAATCGACATTAGCTTTCCGCTTAAGCAGTAGCCGCACCACTATGCCGTGTCCATTTTTGGCCGCGAATGAAAATGGAGTTTGACCATCTTTATCTTCCAGATTGACATCTGCTTTTTATTTAAGGAGTAGCCCTACAACTGTATCATGCCCATTCCCAGCCGCCTATAAGAGTGGACTTTTGCCCCTAAACGAAGAATTGATATTTGCTTTTGGCTTGCGAAGTAACTCTAGCACTGGAAGCCAATCAATATCTATCTTGTAAAATGGTTTAAACAATGAATTGACATTTACTCCTATGAGAAGTAAGTTTACCACTGTATAATGCCCATTGCCAGCTGCGCTTATGATCGGACTTTGGCCAAACATACCTACGGAATTGACATCGGCATGCCTCTTAAGCAATGTTTTTACTACTGCAGCATGCCTATTCTCGGCTGCGGAGAGGAGCGGAGTTTGGTTGAATTTATCTGGGAAATCGAAAGCGGTATTTCTTTCAAGCAGTAGCTGCACCAGTGTGTTGTGCCTATTTCTGGCAGCCAATGAAAGTGGAGTCCGGCCTTCGTAATCTTGATAATTGACATCTGCTTCCTGTTCTAGAATTTTAGATGTCAACGTATCAAGTCTAAAGTATGCTGTGAGGTGTAAAGTTATTATTTTTGTTTTGAAGTAATCAAGATGAAATACTTGATTATACTCTATAGCTTGGCCATATACAGATACTTTGGATATATTCTGGAGAAAGTTGAATATCAAGCGGTTGTCCGCAATCACGGAATTTCGGACATGGTATCCCTAATTATTTGCAGCATAGCTATATAGAACGGTGTTTTTGAGTCTTATAGTTAAATTATTCTCTGTTCGGCAGTATCCAGCTTTAAAAACGTTGAATGATAAGAGAGTGATGCAAGATCTGGTAATTTCAGTATGGGCTTTGCAGACCCAGCCCGGCTTGGTCTGCTTAAAGTACTCCTGTGTAGTATAGTGCACCAAACGTATGATATTACTTTTATTACCGATAGTGGTTAGCCCTAAGCAGACTAATACTATATCCTCAATATGTGGAAGATCTCCGTCATCAAGCTAGAGCATTCCCTCTTTTATCGCTAAGGTATACTGAAGCTCCAGTATAATTAGCGGCCGCTTCGAACAGATTATCCAAAATAAAACCTTTACTGCTAATTATCTCAAACCTGGCTGCTGTCGATTAATTACTTCTATTATCTGGTTATAGGCCTAGCTTAATATCTTACTCTTCTTATATTTACTTAATCCTCGATTGTGCTTCTGAAAGCGTTGTAATATCTTTCAGATATTATTTATAGTTAATTTG